CTCATGAAAAACAAACTTTAGTTTCGTGCACTTTTGAAAATAAGCCAAATCGTTCTTTAATAAAGAAAATCTCAACATTTTAACCCGGATAATATTAAGTTACAGATCAAATTTAAGGTACTGAATTTGTTATTTTTAAGCTTTCAAATCAATGAGTCGGTCAATCACTGAATTTCATAAGTGGCTTTTTGAACAAGAACAATCCATGGTTATATGCTATTGTTATTTTTTAATCAAACACCTTTTAAATAATATTTTACGTTTCGTTCAATCTTATTGAACTGTTACAGAGAGAAATAATTTTCCGGTGATATGATATTAAGCATATTTTGAAATGTTGTGAAGTACAGACTTGGAAAAATATTTTCAAACCAATTATACTTTATCAGATTGTTTTAAACAAATGTTATCATTGATATGAATTTCTAATCAAATGCAAAACATCAAAAATCATTATTCTCTGTTTTCTTAAATAATACCTACTAACATCAAATTGTTATTTTTGTCTAAGCACACACATTCTTCATCAGGGCTATGCAAAGTGGTTTTAAATATTTTCTCTTGTAATTTAAGCTATCTGAAAGTAAATGTTTGAGCTACCACTATCCTAGTATGAAACAGCACTATATTGTGATTAATCATTCAATCAATACCAGATCAAGTTGATAATTACGATAATGCGAAAAGATTCTTTCTAACTGTTGATTCTTGGTATAGGGGTCACGTGAATAATTTCCATTTCATTTATTTACTCTGTATGATATTCTGGAACACACGTGCCAGTAGATGTACAACTCCAGATTTATTCATTTTTTCTAAATAACATGATACACATGCAAAAGGCTGCATGTTTCAGCCATATCGACTGTGATATTCTGAGTTGGTTTACAGTATGAAAGACTGGTTATTGAACGGGATGTGATTGATGATAACAAATGAAAGTCATTAATTCAGTTTTTGATGGAAATCATTTTTGTATATTATTCCACTGATCAATACAATTATTCAACAGTAATCAATCACTTTTCATGATATGGCATATAATAATATCTAGATGATATAATATATTGCACTTTGTCATCGAGACTGTTCTAGTCAGATTTAGACAAAGTCCCTGGCGCGCAAATTGTATTTCCCATTTCATTTTCAATGTCAATGGAATAATCTCCAAATGCAATGTTAATTGACCCAGTATAAATATATTTGTGTAGGTGTTACGAGCCTGCGAGGAGAGTATGATCCGACCTGTCTCACGAGGATACAGTTTCTCCAAACTGCTGCCTAACTGCCGCCAACACTGGTGCATGATCTCACCAAAACATATTATGTTAGTTATCCCTTGCAAGTTTTCAATATAATCCAGTTAAGTTCCAGTTTACAAGGAAACCATGAGCCATTCTAAGCCGGGTATGGCAAATATGACCAACCAATCAATTAATTTAATACAATCAAACAAGAAATGGTCACTGCTCAAAATGGTCAGTATTATGGTCAACTGCTGGGCAATGGTACACTGTTGTGCATTTCAAAGTGATTACCGTTCATGCATTTGAAGTGATTGTCTCAAAAAACAAAATTAAGATTATGTTGTTTTACGTTTTAATGGACGAAATATCTTCATCCGCTTTTCCAGCCATTTCTTTAACGTGAGAAAAGATCCTTTAACAAAAGTCGTGTATGTAATAAATCAAAAACTCTCTTTCTAGTAGGATAAAATGTCAGCTTATAATTGCATTTTTGCAATTTATAGATCATCCCACACACTTAAAATGAATACATTAAAATATAGCCAATTTCTTGAAATTATTTGTAAAATTGTTTATGGACAAATAGTGTTTTTAAATATTAACTTTTTGATTATCTTCATCAAAATATAAATATATTGTATTAGGTTGACATTTTCATTTCTGTCTTAAATTCCTTTGCATCTAAGCCATGCATATTAACAGCTGCTTGCATAGATATGTGGGAATAGACTTCCACACCGTACCCATGCATGTGGCTGTAACATATGTCGGAAAGAGAAATCTTCCCAATAATAGCTGATAATCCGCCAACAACAGATTGAAATCTCACTCCAATCAATGTGAACCTACAGGCCTGAGATGTTTTTTCAAATCTAAAATTAATCAATTCTCGCATCATTATCTAATCGGTGTGAATAAGAGACAAGTGAATGGCATAATTTTGTCTATTTGCCGATACCCGTCAAGAGGTAAAATTTAAGTACCTCTTCTGGAACTCGAATGTGTAAATCTCTACTGTGGGAACATTTTATAAAAGCTTAAAAAACATGGTGGTTTTCAATAGGTTACTTGACAGATGATTGCTAAAAGGCCATGGGTCACGACATTCTAACAAAACACTAGCTTTTAGTTTTTTAGATTTTTTATCCCAATGGAAAATAGCAAATACAAACGCGTGGGAAATGTGAATTCTTTTCTACGACTTTCTTGATAAAACAGAAAGGTTTTGTACATGTATATTGTTAGTAAATTCAAGGTCAACTCGTAAGCTGCTATTAAGACATAATTAAAGTTATTCCTACAAAAGATATTTATGTTTTTCTAGCTGCTAAATGGTATTTACCATGTTTAAAAACTGACTCATTCGTAATCTAATAAAAGTGAAAATATCACGGGCATCAAAAGTCGGTTTGAATAAATGCAGCCTGTTTTGCTTAGAAAATATTATCGTGTTTGAATAATCCATAATGATTATCACCCAAAGGGATAGTATTGTTTGTCTGGAGTAATGGATTTCCCGATTAATCTCATTAGGATGAAGAACAGAATGAAACGAGTGCCAGACTCTACTTCAGTTTCCGTTGAAAGCAGTTGTTTTTGTATGCAAGTCCTTAAACAAGCCATTTTACAAATCAATTTGTGGATATCCTTTAGGAACTGCGTTGCCATCGAGTTGGCGCATGTCATGCATGTGTGGTTTTATATATAAACGCTAAATAAATACTTATTTCCCATTTACCGTGATAATATACCTTCCTGTCATTTGAATTATCAATAACCATTCAAGTATATATTTAGGAAAAGTAGAAATTATGGAGACAATCACAACTAACCAAATCCAATTATCATTTATTAAAACTTCGTTGTTAAAAATCAAACTCCAGGTTTAGATTTAATTAATTCACAATTATTCATTATGAGTTGAAGCCAATTTTAAAGTGTGCAAGTGCTAGACGATGACGTTTAGTGAAGAATGTGGTTATTATTATGTTTTTGAAGAACTGAAGGAAAGAAGAAATGAAGTGAACCTCGACTTTCTGTTAATAGATTCATCTCTACGATAGCCCCTCATCTTGAGCCGACATGACGTTTTCTTTCTTAAAGATGGTTAATATTTTCCTCTGGGTCGTAGTGATGCAATAAAACCGATATTTGATCGCAATTTGATGTTCAATACGTAGGCAATTTGCTTGTAATAAATCATTACTAAAGTGGTTTATTAATTATTCAAAGTGATTAAATAATCCTCTCATTTAAAATGCGACATGATTACCTGAGAACGTTACTGTTGAAATTTCTCAGGAATTTCATCTCGGAAGCGGTAATCTGATACAAGGATATGGTCGACATAACTTTTTTCCAGGACCCATTTGAGGACTTTAATTATTGCAATTTTCTCTCCATGGCACGAACTAATATTAAATCAAAAATACATTAAATAGGCACCATATTATGCCGTATTTATGTTTTTGATTTCATTTACTACGACGTAGGCCTTTACGCGAATTTTCTATGGTAAATTATGAGCATGCACAGAGTGCGTCATTACAAAAAAGACAGAAGTACTCTAAAACATTCTATCAAACCAAAGTAACTGAAAATACATTTTAAATAGACCAAGACCAAGTTCAACGTATCAATGATAAATGGTGGGAGGGGTGGATCATTGTTGGGATGTTGGTGATTGTTTTCCTTTAATTGATATGAAGTTTCTCTGTTTTTAATACCATTTTTAATTTACCTTATTTTAAGAGACATTTAAATGAAATCTTCAAAACATTTCAAAATATAATTAGCAAACTGGTTTGAATCAATTATTGAGCATCTAATCTTTGGATGCTTAATTCCAAATCGTCCAAAGTTAGAATGCGACCATTTGCTAGAATGATTCCACGACATCCTAGGCATTTGGATTGTGTTTTTATCTAAAGGATGTACTGTTACTTCTAAGTTCGATATGACCTTAAACGAAACGTGATAATGCATTAAAGTATTATGAAAAATATCATAAATATTGTAAATAGTTTATTTTGGGTAAGACTTGATCTTTGGCACGAGGACACAAGTCTTGGCACGTGGTCAGTGGAGGTGTATGACGATCCTCACAGGGGATACATTTCCAAAACCAAATATCCATCGTCAAAATTGTTTACTTGACTGAAATCAAAGTTTGCGAAGCGGGTGTAAGACTTACTCTTGTATACATACGAACCATCGTTCCCACGAATAGCGCGTGTTTAACAGGCGCCCATATCACCTGCCCGCCCCGAACCTGGATAACATCTATAACATTCTCGTTACCCGTATCATTAACATCATCATGGCTCTGAAAATGAAAACGGACATCAAAACAAAGTTTGAATCACTATAAAAAATTTTTAAATCGTATTTATACGTCGTTTAATCCATCGACGTCTAAAAATATAAAAAACGATTTTAAATGTAGCCAAATTCCTGTTTTTAATATTGGTGAAAATCAAGAAATCTCCTTTATAAGAAACCACTTTTCGTATGTATGATGAAGTGGAATTGTGTTATCACGAAGTTTAACGCCTTTGTTAATTATACACGTTCCGATGGCACCATCTGGTATGTTAATAAATAACCTCCAACCAATCAGTGCTTTGTGCTATATGCTTGTTGAATGGAAAGAGTTCTGCGAGAGCATCATGAACTGCCAATCATCGGTGTTGAGCCTCAACAAGGAGGAGTTTTCTCACAGTCGGAGTACTGAAATTGCCTCTCATCGTGGGAAGAAACTCAAAGCTTTGGAAGCAACTGTAGCGCGTGTACGTGTGTTCGACCAGTGCCAGTCTAGTGCGTACCTTTGCCTGACAGTCGACACTATTTAAGACACTCGTGTCTCAAGGAAGCTCATTCACAGTTATGGTAGCAAGCATGAAACGTTCTTACTCAGATACGGAGGATGATGTCTTCAGCGAAGCTGATGGCTTGGGGTATGTACAATTAATTTAACTTTGCATTTTTACAAAGTTATATTTCAGGAGTTTGCACATCGGAAGACATCGTGGTTCCCTGGAGTGGGGGACATGGAGATGGACGTTGGGGTAGCATTATGCAACACACTTGGCTGGAGATGCACCGTGGTCAGTGGCATGTGTCCGTGTCCGCATGGCACGTGTCACACACAAGTCACTTACCACTGTCAGACACGTGACGCACCAGTGGCTACATCAGCATGGACACTTGTACACATTTCCTGTAATAGAGATAGCTTTTAGTATAAATAAGTTTAATCAGCCAAGGATGGCTCCAGTTCAAGAAACATCATTGTCTGGACCTTTAACATTGCTGACACAATCAGTTCACATAGAAAACAAAACACTTGTGGATATGTATACAACAAACCGGACTTACAAATCTGTGACAGTGCAACTGGTACTTAGTTAAACATGATAAGAAATAAATTGACGAGGCCTTTTCTCAGTGAAACATTAGTATGCATTGATTTAGTTTTAATATTTTTTCTTTATTTGTTTGCAGATCACCTTCTCAGAGTTGTCAGATATCCGACAGAAAGAAAAGACGTGGGGTAAGTCCGCTTATTTTTACTGCTTTTACGACTTCAATATCCAATTTGTACTTGTCTTCTCTGAATTTACCATATAGTGCTATTATGTTATTCATTACATTTTTTCTGGGGAGTTTTATATAAATTAAACTTACAGTTGACTTGATATAATTGTATATGATTACATCTTATGGATGTGGTAGTATATGAACAAAACACAAAGGGCACTATTGGAGAAGAACGAAGGAGTAAAAAATGCACTTTCAAAAGATACTTTAATTTAATTTAAATGTTCACACCCCTTAATCATCAATTAAATGAAATCATTAAATGAGTAGCCGCTTATCAATGTATATACATGGTATCACAAGATATAGGGTGTTATTGATAGTTCAGTATTGATAGTAGAGATATTTAGCTATTCCTGAAGGCATGTTTGCAATGCTGCAATACTAATTATAATGCAGCAACTGGGCTTTGCGATGCTTGTGGAGAACAGAAACAACTATTTACAAGATCGTGGGAATTTCGACATTTCGTTCCCATTGGGAGCACCAGAAAAATGTGCAGGGCTAGACATATGGTGTATGTTTAATCCAACCGATAGAGCATCATATATTCACACACATCGTGTGGTATTTTGGGAAAGCTATAGTTTTTGTTTGTCTAGTGGTTTGTTGAAAAGGGGGTGTAAATGGTTTAGGTCACGTGCGTTCTGTCAACCTGGATTTTAACAACATTTTAAATGCAATGTTTACTGAAGGTGATAAGGGGCACATTGGGCAACATTGAAAAACATTTTTTCGATATATGTAGTTAAATTAGTGAACATCATAATCATGTACTAATTTATTTTTTAGATCATCGAAAAGCGAAGACGTGACAGAATCAATAACAGTCTAGCCGAACTCCGGAGGCTTGTTCCAACAGCTTTTGAGAAGCAGGTAAGACGAATTTGTAATTCTTCAATTACTTTTTCAACATACTTCAAAGTTCCCAGAGTGATGAACATGGGAAAATTAGTAGGAGAATGTTGCCATCAATTAAACCAGTGACCTCATTACATTCCAGCTGTTATTAACTTGTTATATACTAGAGCGCCATCTTTCTGTTCTCTTACAAAACAGCTGGGTGTCACGGTGAACGGTCAACAGTCTCATGTGAGGAGACCCTGGCATGTAATCTGGCCTGGGTGTCTGTAACACACAGAAACTGATTTATATAGTCGCAAATAAGAAATTGAGCAATTAACAACTCAATCGTGATAAATGCGTCAAATTAGGCCGTAATGAAAAGTAAACTGTGGTCAAATAGTACTACAAATAATGTCAATAATACATAAGTTCAATATTTGTGATCTTTTGAATAGAACAATACTGAAATTTTGTTGGAATAATCTCTGATTTGAAGAAGGGAAATATCTCCCACGTTTCTGGTGTTTGTCTTTATTGATCTTTCATTGATGTGAATTCTCTCTGATTGTCTTCATACGTTCTGTTGAAATTAGGAAAACAATTGTTGTCTCGAGTGTTAACTTTACTCATTACGGCTGGAGAGTAACTGGTGTTCAATTCTTCCATAATTTCTCCCACGAGACTAAACAATGACATATTTAACAAAAGACATATTTTGTTTCGGCAAACATAAACGTTTAAGAGAGTAATTCAAATATTATGCTGTTTACTTTGTATATGGCTTACACACTCGCATTTTTTCACTGTTCTTTATTTTATGTTACACCTGTGAGGATATCATTGTTCACACTGACCCATGGGCCATGATTGTCCCCGTAACTACTGGCTTCCATTTGTTTTGCGTGCTTTTCTTCACGGAAATCATCGCAATCAATGTCATTATTGTTCTACCAAAATACATCCTTAGGATTTGCAGAATTGATCATAAAAGGACACATTTCTTGTCATTCCGATTATTTTTTGAAGAATACCCAGGTTTTATAATAATTGATATTCTTATCATCTGTTTCAGGGTTCAGCCAAACTTGAAAAGGCAGAGATTTTACAAATGACAGTTGACCACTTGAAGCATCTCCATAGTAAAGGTAAGCACTAACACAACAATGAATATGTAATTTCATACTCAAAACATATGATTGTATTTTATTGATTAAGAAAATTATGTCAATAACTATATAGTAAGATTATCTAGGATGCATGGTAAAATTGAATCGGTTTTTACAAGTGATTTTGTTTCTAAACGGTCTGATTCCAAAAGCAAATATTTGTGCACGCGTTCTGAGAAAGACTAAGGTTGAGAACAGCAAATAGAATTTTTTAAACCAATACATTTTTGTGGGAACTGCTCGCTTAGTATTGTCTCAGGATATCCTTAACTCTGTCGAGGAATTTCTCCTTTCACTAACTAATCTTCATTGAATGTTAGAGTAGAATAGTCTTTTCTTTGTTATTCCAAAAGAATGAGGAAAATAAACCTTCCATCAATTATTCATTTTTGGTTACATTGGAAATGTTCCACATTGTTTTTTTCTATGAATTAATGATCAAAAAATAAAATAAATCATGCATTAAATTTCTACTTCCAATTATAAAATTGACCTTAATGTGATGTCCTATTGGTTGGGGACAATAGGAAAATTCAATATGGATACTAGTTTCCCGTTGCCCCTAGTTACCGAAGGAACTACCTGCTATTGTTCTAGTGAATTAATGCTTCAAATTAAAGCGTGACACGTGGCAAGTTAAACTAATAACATTAACAATTTTCTGCACCTGCAAGTGAATCACAGAGATTTCAATGCAGAATAGTTTACGTTCTCATGAGCACTTATGATTCAAATAAAAAGATTCTTTTATTAATGACCTGTAGTGGTATCATATTTGTTAACAGGTGTAAAAGAAATATTTATAAACATAACTTTAAAATTGTCTGATTGAATTCACGTGGGAACAGGTGAAATTATGTTATGAAAACTAATTAAATTAGCATCATCTTCATTTGATCAAGTTTTATTTGCATTTAAATGACTTTTGTTGAGTGGCATCTATCTGAGAGACAGTTAGCGTGGCAGATAGCTGTGGCATCTCGCGTCTTCAATTTGTAAATCCCTGGATTAATTAAAACTGATAGAAGATCAAATTAATAGGAGAACCCAGGATGAAATCATTAAAATGACTCAAAGATAATTAATGAAATTATTTGATAACACTGACACCGGTCATACTCATAGAAGTTGATAACTTTATAGTAACTTTATATGACACTGAGGATGATACGAGAGATATAAAAATAATTCAAACAATGAATCCTAAAAACCTCAAACCCAGATCAAACGTATTTTAACTTCATGAACGACCAACATAATAAAAGATCAGAATGCATCATCACTTTATGCCACTTGAATTACCACATAGCGAAGCTCTACCATCTTTGATGTACAGTTCATTTTCATTTTGTCCTTATTCACATGTTTTAACCGGAACAATTAAATCTCGAGAATCTTTTCAAGCATAGCATCTTTTAATAGTTTTAATGATAATATTTGTTTGTCGGGATGTGCCATGGAAATAGCTGAAAATCAATATTGGTTAAAGTAATACGTTTTACAAATGCAGCATCACAGGTTTTTACCATCAAATCTATTCATTTTTATTTTATCTACTTCCAGCTTACAACTACCATGACCCGCACAGCTTGTCTATGGATTATCGAGTTATTGGATTCCGTGAGTGCGCAGCTGAAGTGGCCCGATACATGGTGACGGCAGAGGGGATGGACATCCAAGACCCATTGAGGTTACGGATGATGAGCCATCTGCAATGTTACTCAGCGCAAAGAGAGGCGGCGTGCAAGCTGCAACAGTCAGCAGGATCAGCGTCATGGAATCTCCAGGCATCTGGATTGAACAGTCAATATAATACAAACACAGGCTCCATAGGGCCAATGTCTCTCCAGCATACACAATCAGACACTAATTTGGCTATGTCTATGTCCAGTCATATGCCCCATGTGGCAGCCCCACATTGTAGCTCAACACTTACAACAGTATCATGCCACGATCCCAGATCAACGCTATCACAAAACAACAACAATGAAATGACAAACCTGAATCTACGTTTACCAACAACAGGTGGCTCTGTAACACCTCAAATGTCTGGTACAGTCAGCTCCACTAACATTTCACCCCACGTTCCCCTACTGCCCACTCTTCCACACGGTGCAGGTCAAGTGAACACTCAACTGCCAGGATATTCTATGCCAATGTTATCACCAAATGGCACCCACAGTAACTATAGCATGGCTAACTCCATGTCCAGCATTAGCCAGCAACATGCAGCCAATACTGCCAAGCCTTATCGACCTTGGGGAGGACCTGAGGTTGCCTATTGACAATGAAAGTGACTCAGTTAGCCTCTGATTTAAAGGGCCCATCGGGTGTTGATCATCTGAATGCAATATCGCCTGCAATAAAAATACATTGTAGAATCGTGGACTACACCTACATTTTGCCATCAACCTATGCAATCAATAGGATTATTTGAACTGTTTTTATTAAAACATACTGTAATTTAGTACCATTAGTATTTATGTTGTCTTTAGAAATTCTGTTCAAACGTTTTTATAATACATGAGAATAGATGACACTGCTTCACACTAATTAAAGTACGTCAAATACATGATTGTTCTCAAAGTCTATGCAAAATCAAATGCTCATTCAACGTCATATGAAACTCACTTAGCAGTACAGCATCATTTACATGGCATCACTGCTAGGTAAAGATGTATTTTAAGATTATATATAAACGATCTCATTTGTGTTTTAGTTATGAGAATCAAGCCAAATTATCTCAACTGACTTTCAGTTTGAGTATTGATGTATACAGTTTTATTATTTAATTTTTTACACAATGAATAAATTTTCGTATAAAATATATAAAATTTGTTGATTTGTTTATTCTATTTGATACACCAAGCATTACATACGTGCATTAATGAAAGAATACACTGACTGGTATAACACAGTAAGCTTATGTTTATTCTAGATGTATGACTGATTTTACCTTGGGGTTTTCCTATTTTGTCCTTTTCTCTTTCAACTAGCTATTGTACTGGCAGAAAAAAATCGGAAGAAGAACTAGATGAAAATTAGTTAAAAGACGCCGTTAACTAATGCGTCAAAAGTACCACTTGAAAGTATTTAATTAAAAAACGTTTAGCATGCCTCATTAGAAAGATACATTTCGATTCTTTTTTATATCTCGATCTATGTTCTTTCATTTTACAAATTTGGCCCATAATTCTAAAGGTGGACCAAAAATTTTGAATGCCAATAGTTTTTTCTAAGTTGATCAACACATGTGAAGAAAAGAAAAAGACGCATGTAGTGTAGTGAGATATACTGAGTGCTGGTTGTGCGTCAATCAAACCTAAAATGAATCGAAAGCGACATAACTGAGCCGGTACAATATTTTATGGAAAAATACAAATTCATATTACACACCATGGACCTCTATTCAGCATATCAAAAGCACTGCTTTTTTATAAGTTATGAAAAGTCCCGTTAATTGTTGACGCGGCATGTCAGACATGATGACGGGCAGGTCGGACTCGGGAATTGCCTTACGCAACGTTTTACAGACTGACTCACTAGCCTCCAGCAAACATTTCTTTGGCTTTTACTCAATTTTTGCCTCACATATTGTATTTTGCCTTGTGTATTGTAAGATCCGCGCAACGTCCGCCACTGAGCTGCAGTACTGCAACACAGTATTTTGTCTTACCCCATTTTGTCTTTAGGGCTCATATTAATTTCGCTATAGCGACTTATATTTCAAATACATTTAGACTTTCTCGAGCTCGAACCAAGGAGGATTGGCTCCCAGAGTGCACCACCGATATTCTGTCCCATATATGGGTATGTCGTAATACAAAATTCGAATTCAAACAGCCGCCATTTTGTTCACTTCAACATTTAAATCGTGAATTTTGGTCTTATTTCCAAACGAAAAATTCCAAAACTCACAAGAAACGATCGAGATATTGGTTCGAATCTTTTGAACTGTTTATTTTGAATTTATAGTCGGTTTTAATTTCAGAAAATAACGACATTTCGACGTTTTCATTGTTGGAAAATATCGAGTTTCGATCCTGGGAGCCAATCCTCCTTGAGCTCGAACAAGAAAATCAAACCGGCTAAAAAGAGACACAATGACTTCAAATGTTACTAAACTGCTAGAATTTATGTCAAAGATAGGACAGCTTAAGGTATATATGCGATAACTTGGTATAAAAGTGTTGAACTGACATATGAGTTAACAATTTTAAATATTTCTGTAATTTCCTTCATTATCGCCCACACGACAATCGATCAGTACTCAGTAGACTACCTACTACAGTTGGGGACATAAATAAATGACAGGTGGATTTGCTGAAGTGAGGATTTCCCATGTTAAAAATAAGAGAATTTACAAGAGGCCATAAATCAGTGGATGAGATTATACAAAATGTAAAATATACAAATTTTAAGGGATATGTATCTAGACAATATTGGAAATTATGGGCTTTCAGACCACCATAATTAGGAAATGGTGATCGAAAATCGACCTGTCATTTATTTTTGTCCCCAACTGTACTGTCATCGCGCATGCTTCCAGTCTTTCTATAATGTGGCAACATTGTGTAACAATAAAAAACTTGTTACTTATTTTACAAGGTTCTACAAACTCACGCCCGGTGATCATACAAAATGGATGGGGGGATTAGGCGATTTCTGCAAGAAAACTCAACAAATTTGGAAGATTTATTTTTTCAAGAGAAAATTTACAACTGAATTGCCAAATGGCGCAGTGCATTTGCAAAATATGTTAGGTCATCTAGTATTTTTTTGAACTGATACCCTTCTAAGATATGAGATCTATCATCGCCAACGTGCAAAAGTCAATGCTTTTTGCTATAAATCGGGCAACAATGGTCTACTCTTACCATATTCTATGGCCACTGAGTGTGGCCATACAATAAAAATAAGACACTCTTTGTTGTTTTGAATTTGTCTTTAAATTTCTGAGCCGTCTTATTTTTATTGTTGTAAACATAATAAACTCACCTTCATTCACACGCAGTCTTATTTCTTAAATTGGTCTACTTCGCAGGATATTTATTCACAAAAGAATTAAAACAAAACTGAAGGAAATTTTTACAACAAAAAGCGGCCATCTTGACTAAATCGCTATAGCGGAAAAAGGCATGCTTTCAAAATGGAGAACGAGACGACGTCTATTTTAAATTCACGAAATATTAACAGAACGATTTTTGGAATATTACATAAATTTATTGAACGACGGCTTAAGATTTTACAATAGTTCACGGTGTTCCAGATGGAATCACTTCTAGCCAAGAATTGGCTAGAGACTCGAGTAAGTCTACTCGACCTGTAATAAATAGGTATAAGGGACGTTATTATCACAATACTCTTACTCTTACTTGCTCACTTTTTAAAGTTAGTTTCCATGCGTTATACAAATAATAATCAAAATAAATTAATATTGGATGGAGGGGGGATATATCTTTACGATGGAACAAATTCACAAGAACTCATGTATTTGAAAAAACTAAACTCAGTACCCCAGTAAGAAATTGGATATTATAAGTGAGCAATGTCATTAGTATTGTGATAATAACGTCTCTTATACCTATTTATTACAGGTCGTGTAGACCAGTGTTGCCTGATTTATAGCAAAAACATTGACCAACAGAATTTCAAGATTGTTGGTGTCAGAATTTACATGTATATCTGAAAGAATTTCTTTCCTCATCATGGTGTCAGTCATCTTAGAAAACAAAGATTCCCTGCTTCCGTTGATTGTTTGACAAAAGGGCCAATAATTTTGTTTACACAAATCACTGTACATTGCATGAGAAGTTCTGCCTAATTCTGCTTAGTTATAATATATAGTTTAATAAAATACCTGAAAATAATGTGTGAATTGAATCCCTAGTCTTACTGTTTAGTGAACACCCTGTATATTCAAGAAAATCTGTTATCTAAGATGGCTTAGCATGTACCAACTACTGTATGTTAAAGATAATACAAATATATTATTTCATTACATTTTCCAGAGAGTTAAGCGAACAGGTTGGGTATTAAGGAGAGTGCAGGAACCAGAAAGTGTCTCAGATCACATGTATAGAATGGCCATTATGTCAATGCTGCTGACACCTGAAAAATATCCAAATATAGACAAAGAAAGGTAAGCATGTGTATATAGACACAAATAAGGAAATACCCTGATATCAATAAACTACATCAACGAGTTCCCTACTACTGTATAGACAAAAATGGTAACTACCTTAACAAAGACATAAATCTTTGAGTACCCTCAGCTTTTGCCAAGGGGGAGGGGTAAGTTATTTTGAAAATTCAAGAGGGTACAGATATATGTAAACCCCAAAGAAACCCTCCTGGCTACAGGCCTTACCCTAATACCAAGAGACAAAGACACAAAAAAGAGAAAAACAATGAGAACTTTAAAATAACAAAGAATGGTGAATGATTACTATCCTATTATAATCATAAATCAAATCTGAGTACTACAGTTGTAAATGAAATAAGTTATGCATACACTTGATATAATTATAAAATGCAGTAAGGATGTGCATGTGTGTATTTTAGATGTATCAAGCTAGCACTGGTACATGACATGGCTGAATGTATAGTGGGAGATATAGCACCAGCTGATGGCATTAGCAAAGAAGAAAAACATAAAAGAGAACAGGTAATTGCACAATTAGTGATATTGTTTATGCATATCTTCATTTCAATTTGGATGCTTCTTGGTATTAAAATCAAGACCTAATTAGTTTTTTAGGGGGAGGAGTTGTAAGCTTTGGCCATTTTAACTGTTTTGCCAGCCATCTAGAATTCTTGTCTGCACATTTCCAGGTAAACATTTTCAATGGGTTTATTACAAAATTTCAGCAATGCAATTCCTACAAAACGTGTACCTCATAAACCTTTCCCATTGCTGACTAGGTTTTGCCCATACTGCTATATTTTTGAAACATTCATAAGATTGCACAATATTATCTGTATAAAAAGTAAATAGGTGGTCTTTTCAGAATGCAATGAGTGAACTTGGTGACCTGATAGCTGATGAAGAGACGCAAAAGGAAATTCATGGACTTTGGGAGGTAATGAGAATACTACATTGATGAAGTTTTAAAAGGGGCTAATGTTCTTAATTAATTATTAATTGTATTTGTAAGGTGATCAAACTTTTGCCGCGTTTTCAATGAATCTGATGAAAACATGTCCAAATAAATAAAATCTTTTATTTTTTCATTTTGATTCATCAAAACGAAGCAACTTTGTTACTCCACAGTGGGGCTCCATTGGGCCTGAGGGTAGCTTTAAGTATGCTACATAAAGTAGAACAAAATATGGTAATAATACCCTTATTATACTTGTATATGGTGTATGATTATTATTGTATGTTTTTAGGAGTATGAGCACCAGAGCAGTGAGGAGGCAAAGGTTGTAAAAGACCTGGACAGATTTGAGATGGTACTACAGGCCCATGAGTATGAGGTCCAAGAGAACAGACCAGGGGAACTACAGGACTTCTTTGATTCTACAAAAGGTGAGATCATTAAATATCTGGTTTGTCTGAGTCGTCCCATGGTAATGCTGAACATCACATTGTGCTAAAGTGTGATGAAGCCTGTTAACCCCCCTACACATTTCAATTGCACACCTTATCATATTGTGTATAACTGAATAGTCAACTGCTTTCTCTTACCCAATGAACTATTTCTAGAAAGCTCATGATTCAACTTGTAAGGTTTTCTCCCATTTCTACTGTACACTTTGACCCATTGTTGACCCATTCTGAGGTTTACTGGGCAAATTATCTATCTCGCTTGAAAACCAAAACTTTACTGTTCACTGAGACCACAAGTCAAGCATTAGGTCCAGCAGGTTAATGATACCTGTATTTAGGCAAGCTAAATCTCATTGAAAGAAGATCTGTCTTGTGGCATGTTTTCTGTATTGAGAAAAGTAAAAGCATAGTTAGGCCATTGAAAGGTGCATCATGTGAAGAATATCATTTAGTGGAGAAAACAGTGACCTTATATTACATCTAAAATTTAAGAGATGTGGATAAATCACTTTTAAGTCTAGATGTCCAACTAAAACCTACAAAATTCAATTTACTGAAATTCACCCTTGGCCCCTGTGTCCTATTCCCAAAGTTTTTTACTGTTTTGATATAAGTTAAAACAGACCTGGGCTGCTGGAGTCAGGTGTTTCTCAGGTATTCCTTTACTCATTCTATATGTCTCACCCTTTGGGTGGCACTGGTCCACTTCTGTCCAATTAAAACCAACAGATATGCTTTTTAGAGTGTCTTATATAGAGGATATCCTATGATTTATGAGTGATATGATTTTTATCCACGAAAGGATATGATATCTGCATGAGCGGGTGTAGCAAGAGAGTGCAGATATCAATATCCATGTGTGGATTAAAATCATATCAAGAGTAAATCATAGGATGTTCTTTTTATTCCATAGTTAAAGTCATCATCAGAAGTGATTTAATTCGAATTTTCCAAACGATCGGCAATGTTGATACTTAGCCTCGTTTTGAGTCTGAAGTAGCAAAAATCCATAATTCATAATTCATAAGTGAAGATTTGTCAAAAATATCATATTTTACCACTGATTACAAAAACACTGTTTTTATTTCGACATGTTATCCTATGAATATCATGCTTACTATGGAATAATATATTGAATGTCATGTATGTTTTTCAAAATAGTGACAGAAAAAAATAAAAAAGATAATATTTTTTCGTGTCAAATTTGAATTCTATGATTTTGCTCCTCAACAGGATGTTGAACATAATTAACTTTTAATGGCCTATGCCAGTCATGGCTTGGCAGACTAGAGACTACCATGCAAGGGTGATGCACTTTTGTTCCATCTATTGATTAACAAGTATTTCCAAGTTATTTAAAACTGTTTAGTGCCATTTGAAATAAGGAGGAGTTTTTCTGATGTGTGGCATGTCTTAGGGGTAAATGTTGAATATTCTCAAGGGTAGACTCGAGTATAACCATTATCATAATTTGTAATTAAATATTCTTGGAATGTGGTATATGTTGGTGATTTGTATGCTCTTTTATAACATATGTTATCCATATTCATAAAGGCTTTATTACATGGCTAGATTTTGAAATGCATTTTGACTTCTAATTTAAATCATTATATTATTGCATTATGCTCATTTTATATTAGATTTGATTGTCTTATATTGTAAGAGGTGGGTACATTGTTTATTCAAATTAAGAGAAGTGGTTTTTAGAGTTTTTTATGTACCAATTCAGTTTTTATTAAGATTATCTTTATCTGTTGTATCAATCTGTGCATGTAAGAGCATGTATTTTTATACTATAAATATTTAAGAAGATATAGTCTGTACTGCACTTTTTCAATGAAGAAATTTAAATGAGCATGTTTTTTAAATTAGCATCTGTCATATTTTGAGGAGCTACTATTATTGCAAATACGGCATTCTTATATGCATTTATTGGCTTGCTTGTTTATGTAAATAACATGTAAACATCTCCCTGGATCATTTTCTGCTTGAAAAAGTAATTCATTAGTCTGTCAAATTTTAAATAGATCCAAAATACGCCCCAAGGTTTTGCTCCATCAAATTGAATTAAGTGATTTCTGATATGGGTGTAAATCAAAGTTTGCTCCAAGGTTTATTGGGAAGGTGATAAATCAGTAAATGAAATATCATGTTTGTGTATGATAATTCTGAGCGACACCCTTTTCCTGTTATTCTTTGACACTACTGTCTTGTAATCTAAATTCAATGAATTCTAAATTATGAAATTAAACCAATTGTATCAGAGAATGATAACTTGGTGTATTATGCTTATGTGTTTTCCTTTGTTGTTAAAATCAAAATGTGACAAATCAAATTAAAGATTTAAGCAGACCATCAATCTTATCCCTAACAATGAAATAAAATTGGGGCACCTGCCAAAAATTCTAGTTATGCTGATGTTTAACAAATTATGTCTCATGCCATACTCTTTTCGTTCAACTTTTTAGATGTATTGAGGCTCACACTGTATTTTTGCACTTATTTCTTCAGAGAGATTCATTCATGAACATTTCCACATTTATTGCCATCATCTATTGTTTGAATATTTAAAACATATTGACTGAAATATATTATGAGATATATTTTAAATCAGCATTCATGGACCATCATTGATGAAAGTTCATTCAAACAACGGGACTGTATCCTGGCCTCTTTGTAACATTTCTCTACCTGTCTATCTTTATGTTTCTATAGCCCTTTGACATTAAATGATTTTCCACCTGGACTGCTACTGTCTCTCCAACACTGTCCAGTATCAATTACATGTTTATTTTGAAGATTTATTCAAGAAAACAAATTGTTCCTATTGTCACTTGCTCTATATGGGCTCTTTTGTAAAAGAACAAGTTTAGTAGAAAATTGTGGTCATACAGAGATAAAGCCTTTAGAAATATTTGTGGACTTCATAAACATAAATTATAATTTGATTAATTTCTTGTATGGCTTCACTATTAAACTGCGAGTGGAAATTGAAAATAAACATGGCTTGATAATATGAAAATATTGATATTATTTGTGATTTTGTATTGAAGAAGTCCTTCTTGATGACAAGTATAAATTAAACTTAAAACTGACTTTTATTGGGACAATCACCAAATGCATTCAGTGTTTGGATAATTCCTTAATAAACATTCATAGATATTGCATGTTGTTTTAAAATATTTTGAATGACATTTTGATCTTTGATTTGGATAATGTTTGAATGTTGTAAGAAAAGGACATTAGATAGGAAACATTGTTTGTTTGATTTCTGACCTGATCATTTTTAATGGACAAATAAAATATCTTTTTCCATTTGGTTGTGTTTCATATTTTTTGGTACATGGTAAACAGTCGACATTTCATGTTTTTTATGTTTTTTTCAACAGGTGGTCACTGTAAAATATTCCAGATAAGGGACATATTCAAGAGATATTTTTTACTATACATTGACTTCTTTGTTATGAAAATAAAGAACTAAACCGTTTAAAAAGTAAGCAATTGACATTTTATGATATATTTATTTGATGTGTGTTTAAACCATAAATCAAATGTGCATATTTGCTGGACATTTAAAAAGTAAAATATATGAACTTTTTCAACTGACTGCACATTTCCTATCTATGTATATTCATGAGAGAGACTAGAGCAGTAGGCGAAACAGTGATTACCTTGATTGCATAATAAGCTGTTAAAAACGTTCACCATTGAAGTTAACTTTTTAAAAGATTTATATTTTGCTCTGTAAATATAACACAATATGAAGAGATAATGATGTCCTCTAGCCTGGGATCCCTAAATACTCTCACCCCAGGCTAATTATGCCCCCGGGCTCAACCCTGCGGCCAGCTTCAAAGATTGCCCTCTGGCCCTTGTAAGTCTAGATTCCCATTGTAGCATACCTTACATATCATGTGAAATCAATTCAAAAAACTTAAAACAAAATTTTTGTTACCAATCTTCCTGCTTTTTCCAATTGATTTTAAGTTTATAATCCAAAGCTTTATTTCATCTTATTTAAATGGAACTCAAGTTTTACTTTGAGTATTCTAGCAAAAAGTATTTTAGATGATTTGTAAGAGAGGTAATTACAAGAAAACCTACTCAGCCCAGTTAGTATCTATTCATAGGTCCCTCTCTAAAGGCTCAAATTTAGCAAGAAACAACTTTTCATTGTGGTCAATAGTTTTGGAGTTGTATACAAATACCTTTATAAACCACACTCTACATCTGTCAATGGTGATCTATTGGAATGTTTCCCTTTTTGGGGACAAACTCATAAAGTTATTTTTGTGAAGCTTTGAACTTTCAAAATATCTTCTCACTGGGGTATCAGAAGATTTGTTCTGAAGATTTCCCTCACACAGTTGCATAGTATGTTATGTCATCTGATATATTTCTTTCTGTATAGTTTATAGATATTTTCTCAGCAGTGGGCAGCTTTATCTAAATTTCTAACAAATGCTATGGATTAGAATGAAACCCCTGATGAATGTGAACAATTATATTTGAATGTTTTGAAAATTATTCAGGGAATTTCCCTTTTATATGATGGTTTGACACAATATTTTTTTCTTAACTTGTAAAAGGCAAAACTATTTTTTTCCAGAAATAAACTACTCGCTATAATATTTTTGGATCAACCATAATAGCACCAATAATGCAGGATGGACTTTTGCATCTCAGTTTTTGAGATTTAATTTGTATCCTACCTTATTTTGAAGTATACCTTTTGAAAATTTTCGTGGTAAATCTGGTATAACTGCAGTTAGGACCTTTTAACTAAACTGGACACAGATTGTGAAACAGATTATTCTAAGAGTCATATTCCTCATACATATGTGCATGTTTTGTTCAATGAATAAAAAACTGCGTATGAGATCAATTAGTGAATAAATATTGTGTGAATATATACATAAAAACAAACTTAAAAAAACAGTTATTAGATTTTCACCTTTGTGCTATTATTTCCAGAGTGTGACACTCCTACAAAAGTCTTGCCCTAAGGGAATGACCTGTCTAAGTAAATTGTGAGCCTATATAAGCCTATTAGGACCTATTAGCCACCCGTGAGTCTGAGCTTTAAGCATGAAAACATCCCAACCCCTTTGCCTGGGGCCCCCATTTTAATCACCTACATTTAATATACATGTGGTCCTTACAGGCCCAAACTAGCCACTTGTTAAGTGATTGGGTGTCGAAAGTAATATTTACTTGTAAAGGATTGGTTATTGTGACCATGCAGCAGTCAATGCCTCAAAGGGGTCCAATATTTGCCCAAGGGTTATTTCTGTCCATCAATGTCACACTTGTATTTCTCAGCATTGAACAGATTGTCAAAAAGAACTTTTTCAGATTTCAAATCCTGATTATTAGAAATATTGTTATAAAAAACAGGGCTCTAATTTAAGCATGTTAGATTATATCTTGATTTCTGCTTGAAGGATATTAAAAACGTTTACATTTTACAATTCAATTCCTAATAACACTTTCAACCTCTTCATAATAACACAAGACCATGTCCTATATTAGTAGTATACTAGTGAAATGTCAACAAGGCATTAACATGCAAAATGTCAAAACCTGCCATTTGGTACAGATGCTGAGCACCAAACACCAACTACCAAACACCAAAGGCCAAACACTGTCTACATAAAAGTTGGAGTCAATAACAATATCTCATTTGTAGTGGTTACACAAAAATGTAAACTATGTAAATGACACAAACTACAAAATATTTGAATAGTAATATTTAATTTTTTCTCACTACTAGAATATAGTATTTATTTTACAAAAACAAAATATTTCATTTTTTTCAAATTCGGTAGGAAATTAAATACAGTATTAAATCACTATGTACCAGTGATAGTAACAGAAAATCATTTCAATAAATTACTTCAATAGGCTTTTATACATCGGTTCACACCAGATGCTTCAAATAATGGATAATCAGAAGAAAGTTTATATCTGGATTTAAGTGGCCTCAGTAGTTATTTTCCACAATGTTGACTGTTATTACAAACAAGCAGCCTGGGGCTTGATACAAAAGCCCCTAAGTATTGTCTCATTAGCCTGCAGTGGCGGTACTTTGGCCTTAGGGGAAACAACCACAATTGCCCCTTGGCCATTGTCCATAGGCATTGTTAAGCACCTCTAGAGTGAGAAACCCTAACTCCTTAAGTGTTTAATATTTCCAACTGTGGACACCTCAACTCTGTGGTTTTTCGTGGTTCTTTCGATGTGTTAATACAAGTTCCAAGACCCCCTCGTGTTACACACTGGTCAATCTTTAACTTATTTCTAATATCTAATGAGTACTTTATCATGCACTTATTAAATTAATTGTAGAACTTGATGAATTGAAATATAGATAATTACTTTTACAGAAATTGTGGGGAAATAAAGCCTGAGTCTTATTTGGTTTATAAATGGGTCACAGTGACTTAAAGAGGGTAAAGTGACATTCTCCATCCCAGATTTTCGAGATGAATGAAAAAGGCGTAAAATATATGATCGTTAGTTAAATCATAAGCATGCATAATGCGAATAAATATGTAATATTTATAACTCCCAGGCATTACTTTCGCTCTCCTGATTGTTTTTTTCAGGAGCCTATTTACAACTTTTTATTTTGGTAATTACTAAGAAGGAGACAACAAAACCCAAGAGGACCATATTTCTACACCTTCACATACATAAAACATTATATCTTGAAAAAGATATCATTTAAGTTAATAGAGTTTATACATGTCTCAAAAAATCTATTTTTGAGTATTGAGCCTTTCGAAAGTTAACATGACAAACAAATGTTCTATTGACTCTATTTAAAAAAAAAGTTTTTTCAATTTCCTCACCATGATTTTGAGAGAATAATGTCAGTCAAAATTGTTTTAGTTTAATGATCAAATATTCAAAGTTCAATTATTTAAGTAATAATATCATATTTGAAATTCACATGCTGAACAATATCTAAAAAATGTTTCGCGGTAATCTATTATATTGTCAACAGTTTGGGGTTTGGACATCTTACACTTCTTCATGTATGTGCATTTCCAAATAAACCTCTCTCTGGATTGATGTAAAAATGTTCAGGGGTGTTTTTTGGCATGGAATATAAAACTAATTTGATTTTTGGCATGTTCGGTAAATTTCTGGTGATATTTATTTCTCGGTAAAATATTTCTCTCTGTGTGTCTTGTTATGTGGGTCCCTTTATCATAAACTAATGATAATATTTTTGTTTTATTGAATGGATGAATATTTCATTTACTTTGCACATTTAAATGATATAATTATTTTCTTTAAAATGAAAATTGAGTAATGTCAAGTACAAAAAAGTAAGAACAAAACAATGTGACTTTAATACACATTAGGAACACAATTGTATGTCTATTTGAATATTTTCTTCTTGTTTTTCTTGCAGGTAAGTTCCAGCATCCAGGAGTGCAGGAATGGGTAGACCAACTCTATAGCAACAGAGACAAACATCTCCAAACCAAATCATCACATAACCCAAAGAAACAGAAACTTGACAGGACTTCAAATACTCAAGCAACTGATTCTGAATCTAGTTAATGGATAGTGAAACAGTACATAGATAAATAGAGGCTAGAGTATCACATTCCGATATTCATTTAGTGTTCATTAGACACTGGAGAGGTTAAGCTAACGATGTTTTTCACAACGTAACCGTGAACGCAAAGTACAAAAATTAACAAAGGAATGTATCGAGCGCTCATAGTTTTATGCGCGCTTAGTCTACTTCAGATACTCTTTCAGCTTCAGAGTTTCGGGTTTAGAACGGGAGATTTGAATATTTGACGTTGGGTCAACGGGAACCATTTTACTCGTGTCTATTGAACACTATGCTGTCAATTTTGATTTCGATGTACAGTTGAATTCTTGCTGAACACGATGATGTATGTCATGCATGATTTAGCGCCAAAAATCTTACGAAACGAGCTCGTTTAAAATATGTATTAGAAAACCAGCTATAAAACCGCATCAATGACATACTATAGAATCATTACACGCTATGGTGTAGTCTAAACAAACACTGGATTTGAACGGCTATTTATATGAGAAGGCTACATGAATTTGTATATGGTCGAGTGATACGTACAGGTTCAGTTTCGATTATATATGCAAAGCTTAACCTCTCCACTATCACTAATCTACCTGAAGGGAAAATTGACATTTAAACACGCACAACCCTTTATTCACTATATACATGTGTAAATGTATTTGAATATGATATTATAATACCCAAGAATACAGTAAGAACATTCTAATCTAAATACCCCTATGACTGACCAAAAGCATTTCGAATTGGCATGTCAGTGAGAGGAACTAAGAAATATTAGAATGTGCAAGTTTGACTGTACACTAGTAGCCAGTTATTTACAGAAAGATGCAATTTGTTAAGTGGGACTGTCTGTATTTGTTCAGCAGAATGAACATCATAACCTTGAAGCTACATGAACTTTAATCAAATCAAGCTGTAGAAAAAGTGCACATTTTGAAGTGGTTATTGTGGCTGCTGACTTTGGTGAAGAACATGAATAATTTGAAGAACATGATTTCCAGAGTGCTTAGAATCTCACATCGAATCAGACTGTCTCTTGACCTCCTTCCCTCGATCTACTTTTATATCTTTTGGGAGGGCATTGTTTGAGGTCACAAAAGCAAAATTAGACGAGTGTCACTCTACAGGTTAGTTGAACATGACTGCCATCTATAGAATCATTTATAAGTATATTACTCATTGAGGAGTTTTTTAAGAGGTGTTCAGAAGCAATTTTTAGTCGTCCAATTAATCATATTTTCAACATCAGAGCAATACACTAATGTGCAACTTTTAAGTCAACAGTCCATTTACAGTGGAGTTCTGTGAGAAATATACAAAAGAAATTGTACAAAAAAACAGATCAGAGGAACAATTTAAAACCTTGTTACGACAATTCAGTTTTGTTGTACATCTATCGACAAAATAGTGTTATTGTATGAAAGGACCACATGCTCAAGGATTGGATTTTATTTTTATGTATGTAGTTATTTTAAATGTTACTTCAGGTAAGAGTCAACTACCCTTCTGATAACATATTGATCTCTTTGGTTGATGCAATCATAATTGTGTCATTTTTAAAATTATTTCTGTTTTTATCATGCATAGGCTGTAAACTACAATCAAGGTGCATAAGTATAAAATATACATTTAACTTTATCTCTCATTGCTTTTGTTTATTTTGTTCCCTCTTCACAAATGGAAATTGTCATTGTTCAATGCTGGGTCTACAGGTCTAGGATTGTGGTCACCTACACTTTACAGAAGTACAAGTCCAGGATTGTGGTCACCTACACTTTACAAAAGTACAAGGCTATGATGTCCAAGCAGAAGTACGATCATATTGTTGGAACAATGGGCCTGATTATATTTTTTAATAAAGAAAAGCTATAACAAAGTACTTACACATTAACAACAGTACATTTATTTTATAAAAACACAATTAAATGATGACATCATGAGGACAAATGTACTTTACAGTATGTTAAATGAACAGACTCCTTTGAACAATAGCTTGAAAGATGATAAAAATTGGAACATATAGTTCAGATATATGGTTCAAAATGTCTGAATGGAACAAATATTTCTTTTCAATATCATCTCCCAGAATTACTTTTATTTAAAAGGGATGATTAATGGAAATATCCTTGAGATATTATGCAATTTTTTCTATCCATTCATACAATTCCTTCAGATCTCCATCGCTGTCTTCAAGTCCTTTGCAACTACACTCTACAAATTCTACTTTCAGCCCTTTAAGATCACTGAACTCAAATTCCTTATTTTTCTTGCCCAGGAATACTACAGAGTTTGAGGAATTATCTTGTCCCTGGAGAGCAGCCGATCGGCTTACACGAACTTTATTCCTGGAAATAATATACAAGCGTTATATACTTGAAGGCATCCCGAAGAAAATTGAGTATCTCAATAGGGACCAAGGGAGATGCATATATTCACTCGCTAGATACACTTTATATTCTCACATATTATGCACATAGAACCTCAGTAAGTATGGGATAAATTAGGGTTATGTACTGGGAGGTTTTGGATATGGGGTTTATCCAGAGGGATATATGAATATCTATTTTAGGAACCAAAGGTAGATGTGCATATCTCGCAAGGGATAGTAATTTTTTCATCATTTTTTCACATTTTTTTCAAAATTTTTTCTTATTTTTTACAATTTTTTTTTCAAAGCGGGAAGATGTGCCCTGGAGCGGGAGATATGGTGGGAGATCTGGAAGTTCTGGATATGGAAACCTCATAATCAGGATATGGGATATATCTTACCAACTTATCTCCCTAAAACTCTACTTGGCATAGGATAAATGGGATTATCAATGAAGCCTTAGAGTAGAATATACTGTTATTCATGCAGTTTAATAAAGGGTTTTGCCAGCCATCATAATCCATAAATGTTTTCAACAGTTTTCAAAACAAATGATATTCATTAAAATAAACGCTTCTTTCTTCAAGCATCCAGAAATGCAAGTCTCATTCCGTTGCTTCACCATCAATAATGATTTATACTCACATTTCTTTTTCAAGCTGTGATTTAATAACTTTGGAGCCCTTTGCCATGGTGATATCTTGTTTGTTGCAGGCTACGACTATTGGGGTTCTGTTACTTGAGATCACTTTGTCAGTCAGCAAATTGTACAAACATCTAAAACATTCAATAGGTAAATCATTTATCTCAATGTAAAACAATAAACAGTGTATATTGGTGTTTTATATATTTTCATTTTCAATTTATATAGATTAAATCATTTTAAGATTGAGAGTTTGTGTACATGTATTCATATTCATAAATTAGAATTTGATTGAAACGAACTCATACTCACATGACATCTATATTATAGTTTGATTTGATCATGCGCATTGAGCAATTTTAAAAATAATGCTGGAAAGGAGTCCATATTGTACATAGTATATGTAATATTAAAGTCCTTTTTGCATTATACTTACTCTGCTACATCTTTCAGTTCTTTGCTAAATGTAAGACTGTCTACCATGAAGACAATGGCCCTGAAACACAAAACACAGTATATAGAAATATTATTACACTTGAGCATTATGCAACACTCTTTTGATTTTCAAATTGTCCAATTATAGAAATTACCTATTTAGGAGCAATTTTCCACTAAAATCTAGATCTCTATGAAACCAAGGTAATGGGTGAACTCAGATTGATTTAAAAATAGAACAATTACTAGTATAAGAGAGAACCCAAACTAGAAGTCACATTTTCAAAAATAATTCAATTTTCAAAGTTGATTAACAATTTTCGAAACCATACTTCCAGAGGTACTTTTACATGTATATTTCAAATATGATATCACTTTGACTGAATTTTGAATATTTAATGAAGTAAATCAAGATTATCTCTACTCGCATCTAGTCTATTGTCATGTTAAGTTGAAGACTATCACTACCAGGCCAGTTAGGCCAGATATTATTCTATTCAAATGGCTTCACTTAGGTGTCCTCTTGCATTCTTGAGATCTGTAATGTTGGTATGAAAGTTTCATACCTGGCAGTATCCTTGTATTTGTCCACAAGCTGAGGCCTGATCCTCTCATGTCCTGGAACATCTAGAATATTCAATACGCCACCCTGGAACACAAACAGATAATGTCATTGGAAATTGTACAAGGAATTTGTGTAATAAAAAGTACAGTGAGTTCTGGGCTCACATCTTGTCGGTCAGCAAAGAGAAAAGTGAATGGAGGATAAAATGGCAGCTAATTAAAAAAGCAGATATAAATTTTTGCCAATTGTTTTACAAAATTATCCCATTAAACTACTCTTTACAGTGGCATGTTTTTTACAATGCAGGACACCTGAAATCAGTTTTAAAGCTACTGAATTGACAAAAAGTGAATTTTCCACAACTAAAATGGCAGCCACTTTGAAATTAGGCAAGCTATTGAACCAGGAGGGACTTCACAGGAGGGACTTCTGTATTAGAGAGGAACCAAAATAATTTAAAATAGGAATCTTATTGACCTAGGTTTTAAAACATGCTTCTATTGTTGACTGACTGAGAGATAAATGGACAAATCAATGTTAACTAAAATGGCTGAAAAAAAACTATACATATAATTTTTTGCAGATTTTTTGTAACAAAATTATAGCATAAAGTGACATGTCTTTTTACGATGCAGGACACCTGAAAATATTTATAAAGCTAGCAAACGGTCCAAAAGTGAATTAGGCGAGACGAAAATGACCGCCATTTTGAAAATAGGCGAGCTTTTGAACCAGGAGTCATATGGGGGGTTTTAAAGCAAATGGTCCAAAAGTGAATTTCGGTAGACAAAAATGGTGGCCATTTTTAAATTAGGTGAGCTTTTGAACCAGGAGTCATAGGGAGGCTTTCTATATTGATTTTGAACAAAAATAACTCAAAACAGGAATCCTATCAACAGAGGTTTTTGGAAGACAGTTGGACTGGTGAACAGACAGACGGACGGACAGACAGACGGACAAGTGAGTAATTGCAATAGCTCACCATGTGAGTTAATAAAAAATAGGATCATTATTTGAAAACAAGGCGATTTTGAAGGGAGTTTTACTGGATCACTGGCGGATCCAGAAAGTGAGAGGGGGGGGGGGCAAATTTAGCGCCCAAATTTTGGAAATTTAAGGCCTTTTTTGATATTTTGGCCCAAAAAAGGCCTAAAATGCCAAATTATCCCCAAAAAGGCCCATTTTTATGAGGTTCTACAAATTGTTTTGGGCCCACAAAAGGGGGGGACCCTCCCCCTGGATCCTCCAGTGAGTTTTCGAATACAGTATATAAGTATGATTTCACTTTTGACTTAGTAATTTTCCTTCTAGCTATTGAAATTTACATAGAATTATGATCAATATATTTATAGGTAATCAATTTGGTGTTGTACTGGAGTATAATAAGTCATTATCTGTAAACCAATCAGATGGCAGAGATCTATTTATTATCATTTTATGCATTGCGAAAACAGTCTATGATTGCATACCTTCTCTGTTGGAACAGTATAACTGCCATCATTCACATTAATAGATGTGTGAGTATTCTTGAACGCCTTATACACCAGCTGGAGAAAATAAATTAAAAAGACATAAACATGAAAAAATGTCACCACCTAGTTGCTCACTATATTATTGTAGATGATTTTGAAAAATGGTCAATTTGAAGCAAGTTGAAAAAAGACCTTTTTGACCTTCAGAATGTCATTGAAGGTCAAATCTATAGTCAGATTTGAACTTCTGAGAACTTGTAGATGATTTTGAAAAAATTGATCAATTTGAAGCAAGTTGAAAAAAGACATTTTTGACCTTTTTTTGACTTTGAGAAGGTCAATGAAGGTCAAATCTCAATTCTAAAGTCAGATTTGAACTCCTGATAACTTGTAGATGATTTTGAAAAAAAGTTTGGTCAATTTGATTGAAAAAATTTGGTCAATTTAAAAAGACTTGTTTTGCCTTTTTATGGCCTTGAGAAGGTCAATGAAGGTAAAAAAATTTGGACAATTTGATGCAAGTTGAAAAAATACCTTTTTAACCTTGAGAAGGTCAATGAAGGCCAAATATCAAATCTAAAGTCAGATTTAAACTTCTGATAACTTGTAAATGATTTTGAAAAAAGAATTTGGTCAATTTGATTGAAAAAAAATTTGGTCAATTTGAAGAAAGATAAAAAAAGATCTTTTTGAGCTTTTTATGACCTCGAGAAGGTCAATGAAGGTCAAATTTCAAATCTTTAGTCAGATTTGAATTTCTGATAAGTTGTAGATGATTTCGAAATAATTTGAAGCGAGTTGAAAAAATACCTTTTTGACCTTTATTGACCTTGAAAAGATCATTGAAGGTCAGATCTTGAATAAAAAGTCAGGTTTGAACTTCTGAAAACTTGTAGATGATTTTGAAAAAAAGTGAAGTCAGTCTAAACAGGATTTGTTAAGTTATTGGAAGTTTTGTTACATTACAATTTGTTATAGACACCAACCCCCACCCACCGATCACCAACCATCAACCGCCGTCAAGACAAAACGGAGACCATAACAATATGTCACCACTTTTTGGTGGTGACATAAAAAACTGTGAAATGGTATATGTGATGAGTGATAATGAATGTGTATGCAAATGTCTATATTTCATTAAATTTGATGGTACGCTGCTTGATGGTAAGCTGCTTCTTCTATTCTATCTAACTGAACATTACATCTACAGGAAAAAGGTAAGATTGCATTGCACAAAACTGCTACCATGATGACCATTCAAACAAATGGGATTAAAAAGCCCTTCTTATTTATTGTCAAAATCTATTTCAATTAATTTTAATTTGAAAAATAGCTCTAAAATCACCCAATTGAGCATCAATCATGAACTCCAAATTCAGAAAATTGAACAAAGCAAAGGCCACTCTTGTTCAGTACATACCCGACTAAAGAGCAGAGTTTTTCCAGAATCACACAATCCGACAAGTAGAAGTCCTCTTCTCGTATTACGTCCACCGCGTAATATTGCAAGGAGAACTAAAAAAAGCATTAATTGTCAGAAAATACATTGTTTATGTTTGCTTGCTAAGATTAGTAACATAGGCCCAGGGAAAAGTATTGGCAACCTGAATCTAAAAAAAGGTTGATAACCCCAACTGAGGCCACTTTTTAACATTATTTCAAACAATATTTATTCATTATTTGCAAAAAAGCAATGGAAAGTTGATAAAAAATTGATAGTTTTCAATTCTTATCTATGAATGAAACTCAGTCAAGTGCATTGTGATATAAAGTGAATAAAGCTGTCTTGGAGTAAGTATTTCTGAAAATCTGCATTTGTGTAACAAAATAACCATTTTAAACAAGTGATTTGATTGGTTTCTGCCAAACGCTGTAAGTGACACATTTTCAAGAAGATTCTGGACTGATCTGATTATTCAGCCTTTGCCACCCAAATATAATCTGCCTAGTAATCGTGATGGCCCAGACAGAAATACTGAATGCAGCCATTTGTTTATGTTCATTTGGAAATCTCAGGATGATTCGTTATTCTTTAACACCTCCATTTTTATTTTTTATAGATTATCTCCACCTCGACCAAAAAAACAGTCTTGATTAGTATAGAGGCACTTGAGTATTTCATTATTTTTAAACCAGATTATTATACGCGTGTAAAGGCTGTTTATCAGAATCAGTCAGCAGCCTTTGACATAGTTAATCTGGAGAGATTTGGTTTACTCGAGTCTCTAGCCAATTCTTGGCAGAAGTAATTCACCATCTGGAACACCGTGAACTATTGTAAAATTTCTGGCTGGGGTTCAATAAATTTAAAGGGGTATTCCTTGCCAGACCATCTCTCTCCTAATATGGTAGCTATAACCATATAGATACTTTGCAAGTTTATCAAAAAACAGAAAAATGTTTTGAAATGGTCAATATTGATCACTTAAATATGTAGTGCTCAATTCCAGTAGGCTGCCATCTTTTAAAATTACTTAGGAAGTGATGTCATTGACTCTCAACTTTGCATATAACATTAGGTAAGGAGCTATTAGAATTACTAAACCAGCTGAATATTTTTTTTTCAATTTGGTCTTTGATTAAAATCCTTTTGATGATCTCTTCTTTAGTTCTAAGTTGACAACTCCTTAAAATATTTTTACTCAGAAGATAAGGGCTTCTTGTTTAGAAGTGATTTTGTACTTCTTTCCTATACTGTAATAGACAAGGATATAACAGGTGAGAGTCGATGACATCACTTCCTGAAAGAAATCTGAAAAGATGGCAGCTTACTGGGAATGAGTGCTACATTTTTAAATGATCAATATTGACCATATGAAAACATTTTCCCATGTTTTTCTAAATATGTAAAGTATATATATGATTGTAGCTACCATATCAAGAGAGAAATAGTCTGGCAAGGAATGTTCCTTTAAGGTGACATTAAAGATAATCAAAAGTACAAAAAGTACAAAAACATGGAAGCCATATTTTTTTGATAAAGTCAGAAGATTTTGTGTAATATTTTCCTTCTATGTGAATGCATTTCTTGACAAAAGAGACACATAAAAGAAAACATTTCATAGAGGTGCACAGATTCCACAGCTAGCATGAAGAGCGTGAAGTAAGGCTATTTTTGAAAGTTTCAAGGAGTAGCCTTGCACACTCAGTGGCCATATAACATGGTAAGATTTGGTGATTCGATTGAATACCAGTAGATCTTAGGAGAACTCGTACCAAGATGGCAAGTTTTTGAAAAAAATTCAGCCGGGCTTGTCAACCCATTTTTTTAATTCAGCTTGCCAATTCTTTTCCCTGGGCCTATGCATGGCTGTCAACTAAAGGGGGTAGGTGTGAATAATTTTGAACCTAATGCGATAAATACACGTATTTCGGACCAAATGTGTGACATGAAAAACCTAACAGAATGCGTTTGCTTTTTTTTCACCGTTTGTATTTTTACCATATCGGCATTTCATAAAAAACGATTTCTAAAATATAAACATAATGTGTAATTTGCGTGATATTTGATCATAAACACCAAATTGATGCATGAATTTTATTTTTCCAGCAAATGCGTGACAATCACGCCTAATGCGTGAGGGTTGACAGGGCTCCTATGATATACTAAGATTTTTTATTTTTACAAATCCAATGATGAAATTATTTCAATTCGACATATGTTCATTTCATTGCTTGACAAAACAGTGCTGCTTTGCAATTCATCATTTTTATACTTACTAATGGTGAATATGACAACTGCTACGCCGACTAATACACCTATTACAGTCGGATCATTTCTATTTATACCGTCTTTTACAAAATTAATAGGATCATTTGAGAAGTTTTCGAACGTGGCCATGGTGGACCCGGAAGTATTTTTTACCTCTAGTTTGAAGAGCTCTGGAATATGTTAGCAATATCAAATGCAATATAGGAATTGAAAATTTTGATATAATGCATTTAAATTACACAATTTTACCTTATATTACGCGACATCTAGATCGATATCAGCGCTAGAAACAGCTTAACTTCAAGGATTCAGAGAAGGTTACAAAACCAATTCCTATCGCGCATGCGCACTACCAAGGTCAAGAGAATCATGACATCCTTGCTGAATCTTTCCTCTAGACTCGTCGGAAAAAGTGTCCAAGATGGCTTGGTAAGTTACTTATCTGTCTGTATTTATAGTTCTTGTAATATTTAAACATTTAGAGTACATACGGGAGGGATTTTTATATGACTTCATATCTTCAATTTGAATATATCTTGCAACAAACGTTACACATATTTTGTCAATCTTGAGTCAAAATGACCCAAAATGACCTTCAATTGCAAAACAGTTCCAAGATTATGAAAAACATTATAATGTTCTGTTTGTATGATGTCCAAGTATAAGTCTTGCCTTTTAGACCTACATGCGACTCAATTTACTATATTTTGCAGGCGAATTTTATCTTTCTGGAGCCTAGATCTTACCTTCCTTCTTCTACTGTATCGTGGCCTTCCAGTAAAGATATCTGTAGACTATTCCTGCATGAACAACTGGTCATGTCGTAATCATAAAATTTGAAATCATATGTCCGCCACTTTTCCACATCACAATTTGAATTGCGAGTTTTGGTCTTATTACCTCACCAAAAATTCCAAAACACACATAAAGTGATCAGTGTATTAGTTCACATCTTCTAGTGCATCGCTAACTTAGAATTTACAGCCAGTTACTAATGTCAGACGTTAACGACATTTCGTCCAGTTTTCGAACATCGCCATTTTTCTTGGAGCCATTTTGTTTTAATTTAAGACGAATTTGAGGTATGTATGTAAAGCTGAGGCCAAGTACTTTCTAAATGTGCCATTTTTAGAAATAAATCTCAAGAATATGGTCCCGTAAACAGGAACTACTTTGTTCTTTAATTTTTATCGTTGAAGCAGGGATTTTACCTAAAAATGAGCGTAGTGATATTTAAAAATCGAGATGCAAACCTTATGATAAATATAGTGTCAAGATGAAGGTTATGTATAGGATATTGCAGAAATATAGTCATTGTATGGGCTAATTCGTTCGAAAATGGCAATATGTACCCCAGAAGGTGTGAGTATCATAATCCAACACCAAATTCGAAAATTCAGAACAATACTTTGCACATATGGCGTTTGGATCAACTATAAAACGCTTACCCCCCCCCATAGTGTTATATATCAAAATGTACCTGTTCATATAGGGGTTCGATTGATCTACATCAAATTATAGGGAGGCAGGTTACTTTTTGAGATATCAGCGTCCATTTATTGTAACTCGCGTTTGCTACCATTTCCTCATTTCTGAGATGACGGGCAAACACGTAGTAAACATGCTCACGCTGGAACTATTTTGACCTACATCGCTATTTTCGTAATTCAAATGAAAGTTGAACTCCTCCTCTTTATTTTGATACCAAATAGTGGCATACTGGGTACCCTAGAAGCCAACTTTGGCATTATTTAGAACAAAACCACAAATTTGTAAATGGACTTTATAGTGTCATACCTTTTAGCGGATGGATATGGAACCTCACACCAGAACTTGAATTTTGTGATTTTTTTTTCAATATTTTTCAATGATTTACCGTAGTGACACCATAACGTATCATAACTTCCAGAATGACATGCCTTTGGAAAATTTTTGGGAATATTTCCACTTCATTTACATTTCTTGTATAACTGTACTTATTGTTGATCGAACGGAAAGATAAGCTGATGTAGTTACACTAGAGTTCGTGTACTACCATTTGGAAGGCACGCGAGGGTCCCATTCATCAGGTAACACTCATATGTCGAAGTTATGTTCTTATTATTTTTAACAGTTAACAGACTCTATCAGTATCATATGTTTTAGAAAATGTTCATGTTTGCGAAAAAATAGCTTAAGGTGCTATGGAACTTAACAGGAAATGACAAAACAGGAAGTGACATTTTTTTTTGCATTTTTAGACATTTTTTGAACAAAGATAACAGAGTTCTGTTTTGACCTCCAGTCAATTCAACTAGTTCCAAATACCATTTACAGGTCCAGGATCACAATGTTCATGGTCAGAATGACCCTAAACATGATGAAATAACGTTTTCAGCCCTATGAAAATGTGACTGAAAAATAGCTAAAAGTAGGAGGGTAGGAAAGGTCACGGAACAGAATCTTTTGAATTTTTCAGAAAATGTGCCCAATATATTGCTCTAAATGATACAATCTTTGAAAATTTGATATCATTCAGGGTTCGAACTTAACTTTTCAGACTGGTAGTGAAAATAGTTACCTGACATTTTTTCTAGGTAACTAAATTCCAAAGTAAGGTAGTTGTTTTTACTTGTTGAAAAAATGTCGATAGACACAGTTTTCCTTCACACTAAAAACAAGTATATCGATCTGTTGATCTCAAATTTATTATTAATTATTATTCCATGATAACATTTGAAACTTCATGCCTTGTTTTCAGAGATAGTACTAAGAACATGTATCTATCATGTCTATGTGGAATCACACCAGGAAACTTTAAGAATAATAGATATAGATATATTTGCCTCAAAAGACTGACTGACTCAAAAGTAAACAGAATTAACTTTAGAAGACCTCAGAAGAATGTTTCAAGTTAAACAATTCAGAGAAAACTTGTTGTCTTATGAGAACATACACATTGGTAGTCATGTGATCAGACCAAATTATAACAGGCCAATCATGTTGTTTCAACATTCAAATTTTAATTTCCCACAATGATAAACATTCCTAAGTGGCTCTAAGTGAAAGGTCAACCTGCTTAATCTATGCAGCTGTTGCGTTTTAGAGTTTCCCTCCCCAATATTTTATTTTTTATTTCAAATCTACATGGTAAAATGGGAACTGCAAACTTTATTGAAGGGGGTATGATTATTGAAAGCAATTACTAGTATTTTTCTCAATAGATGTCTCCCTCACACTAATCTGAGAACAGGAAGTTCAAAAAGTATCTTAATAATACGGTGATTTTACCTGAAAATTGCCGGTTTTTAAGACTTTATTTTAGAAAAATAAGAATCTGTATGGTAATTTAACACTTTATCTTATGTTTTGAGAAGTTATAGCCTAAAAGCTGAAGTGAAAGAGGACGAAAAAGGTCAAAGAAAAACATTTCAAAAAAGTCAGGAAACTGTTTTCGTTACTTGGGCATGTTGCTAGGTAGCGATTTGAGAAAATAAAGGAACGAATCGTTACTTCCGCAACGCTAATTTCGAACCCTGTCATTCATGGAAAAAGAAAAAAAATGAAAAAAATAATTTTAAAAGCGATTTATTTTCCTTTTTATGACTGTCATTTTTGTTTAAGACAATTTTCTAAAATTTCAAAGATTGTATCAGTTAAAGCGTTATATTAGGCACATTTTCTGAAAAATTCAAAAGATTCTGTTCAGTGACCTTCCATAGCTACTACTTTTAGCTTTTTTTCAGTCACACTTTCAAAGGGCTAAAAAGGTTATTTCATTATGTTTAGGGTCATTCTGACCCTGCACATTGTGATCCTGGACCTGTAAATGGTATTTGGAACTAGTTGAATCGACTGGAGGTCTAAGCACAACTCTGTTATCTTTGTTCAAAAAATGTCTAAAAATGCAAAAAAATTTGTCCCTTCCTGTTTTGTCATTTCCTGTTAACTTCCATAGCACCTTAAAAGACAACAGAATCGTCGATTTAATTCCTCACTTAATTACATAAACGGTTTTGGTTAAAAGTGCAGATCTTTACTGTTTTTCAAAAAACCGTTTATGTAACTGAAGTGAAGAATTAAATCGACGATTCTGTTGTCTTCTGAACTATTTGTTCGCACATATGTACATTTTCTGAAACATATGAAACTGATACACGTTTGTGTTAAAAAATGTCATGGGAATTCTGCCTACAACGTGTGAAATAAGTAAAAGAGAAAAATCATACCGTCAACGTTCCAACATTTTGTTACCAAATCGAACCGTTTCGGTAACCAGCGTAATTGAGTGGATCACCAGTGATATGTGTAAACCGTGTAAAATGAATTCTGAATTCAATCCATTTCGTGGTCATGTTTTTCAGTGGATACCTTGTGTAACCAGGTAACCTTTTAATTTTTTTCTGATATTATTGACTATTTGATAAATATCGAACGATAGTCTACACTGAGGAGGCTATGTTTCTGCTTGACAGGTCAATTAGCCACTACATTAGGGGAAAAGGTGCACCTTTGAAAGTTGGCAACCCATTTAGGAATGTGAGTTACCTGGCCACTTGGTCACCCATTTTCTGGCTCACACAGTGGGCCTATAGGATTGACCAGGCGTCCGTCCTTCCGCCAACATTGGCCGCACAAATTAAAACTGCTATTCGGATTGAGTCATATCCACATTCATTTTATGTATATTTATGATGCCTATTTGACCTATCATCGCCATTTCCCAAGTTCGCCCAGTTTCCGAGTAATTGCGGATTTTGACGTCAAAAAGTCAAATTTTCTACTTTGTTGAAGTAGAACTTTCAAATAACTTTTATTAGTTGCTGTATATGCAACTTATGTCCTCTGAAGATTTCAAAGCTCTGGGATTTACAGTTTTTGGTGTTTACTCTATAAAATTTGACAAAAAGTACGTCATTTTCAGGAAACTTTCTCATAGTCGATGGCAGGTTTTGTGATTGACAAGTTTCTCAAAGTTTGCCTTATACTTGATCATTTCATCATTACTAGATTTAAACATTCCCTACATATTGCTCAATATATGTCAGCATCAAATTTTTACAGTTTCTGAGATATTTGACATCAAAAAACAGTAAAAATAAGTTATTTTTCAACTTGCTTCAATTTGAGGAATTTTTTTTTCGAAAATCATCTACAAGTTGCCAAAAAGTTGATTTTTCAAATTGATTTTGGATATAAATTTTGGTCAGCTTAATCACAAAAGACCTTACTGAGCTCTGAATGAGTAAAATTTTCAAGGTCAAAGGTCATCAAACTAGGTCACACAACTGTGCTATCTAAGTTTCTCAAAGTTCGAGACTACAAATCCAAATCAATATTTCATACATACCCCTGAAGGTTCCAAACTGTGTGAGCACAGGACCGTGGGTCCTTCATTAACATTTTTTTACATAAACCCGAGAATGAAAACTTGGATTATTGACAAAGTTTGGGTACACAGGCACCTGAATAGATAGTAGACTTAACAGAAATCAGAATCTGCCATGCACCCACCCCATTCTCTGAAATTCTAGTGTTGGGCCTTACACAAGGAGAACATAGTGAACATTGGTCTCCAAGATTAGAAAATGACAGCACTATAGAATATATATGATGTTTTATACTTGCAGCTAAATGCAGCCATCCGACCAGCAGCTACACAAAGAGATTTTCATTTTAAAATCCAGGGACGTAACCAACGCAATACAGATGCTAAACATTCAACAGGGAGTCAGATCTCTACTGACTACCCTGTAGTTGATCATACATACGATGCAGTAGTTGTTGGTGCTGGAGGTGCTGGCCTTAGAGCAGCTTTTGGCCTTGCCAATGAAGGATTTAAGACAGCATGTATCACAAAGCTTTTTCCAACTAGATCTCATACAGTGGCTGCACAGGTAGATATTGAATTCAAGTAATAATTCAAGGAGTTTTATGAAGAAGCCATTCCATGTGTCAATCTATGTCTTATTGGCAAATAACTGAAATAATTCTTTCTTCCCTAAGTTTTGTTCTGTATTTAACTGCTCAAAGTATATTACATTGTGAAAGTTATCATGTCACTACCTTTACAGGGTGGGATCAATGCCGCTCTTGGTAACATGGAGGAGGATAAATGGCAGTATCATTTCTACGATACTGTCAAGGGATCTGATTGGTTAGGAGACCAAGACGCCATTCACTATATGACCAGAGAAGCCCCTCAAGCTGTTATTGAGGTAAAGTATTGACATTTTCAAACTTTAAATAGGGTAATACTTAAATATTTGTATAAAACATACAAAGTTTGGTGTGGATAATGGATATACTAATTATTATTTGTAATTTGTTTTTATTTTAGTTGGAAAATTACGGCATGCCTTTTAGCAGATTGGACAATGGTAAAATCTACCAGAGAGCTTTTGGTGGTCAGAGCACCAAGTTTGGCAAGGGAGGCCAGGCACATAGATGCTGTGCTGTAGCAGATAGAACAGGCCACTCTTTACTGCATACTCTTTATGGCAGGGTAAGGACACTTGGCTTATTACCATGAGACAGGCAATTTTCTCTGATTCCCCGAGAACGAAGTTTGGAAGAGAATATGGAGATGCCATCTGCCCAATCGTTTGTTTTGGTGATAACTCAAATACCAGTTGACAAATTGGGTTCAAATTTTATAGGGTTATGTTTTCTGGTCATAGGACCTCAATTAGTTGATGTATTCCAAATTTATATGTCGAAGCCTTATAGGCATTTTGTTAAAAATTCTCAAGAAGTAATTTTGGAGATAGACCGCTAAATTCAAAATGGCTGCATTTTAAAGTTTAAATTGCTGTTTGCTAGGATAAGTTTTTTAATAAGTACATAATACAAACAAACGCAAATTCATGAAATTGGAATACTAAAAAATTAAAATTTTGTATAAAATTAGTAAAATCTAAATTTCAGTCATTATACTACGACACTGACTACTTCGTGGAGTACTTTGCATTGGATCTGATAATGGAAGATGGTGAGTGTAGAGGGGTAACTGCAATCTGTCTTGAAGATGGATCCATTCACAGGTTCAGATCCAAGAACACAGTCATTGCTACTGGGTGAGTACAGCTTGATCCATATCTTGTATTTCTCTCATAATCCAAAGAATGAAATGGATTGGTAGGAGGTGGATTGATTTGCTCTTTGATAAGGTTGATGTTTCAGATTCAAAAAACTTTGTTTTCACTTTTTTCACTGAGTCACATTTGTTTCATTCAAAGCATAGGTTTATGGAAAACTGCAAATGCCAGCCTATTAGTCACTGGCATGTAGCGATTATAGCGGTCCTGTCTTGGCTTATTGAATTGTTACGAAGTTACGTATGCGGTGCGGAAGTTAGAGAGCAAATGACCATCATTTCAATGTAATAGTTTATGCAGGAAAATTGAGATTAGGCCATTGGAGTATTTGTTTCATGCATTTGTAAAACGTAACCCACTCATAGGTCATACTTATCGTTAAACCAATAACTCAAATATATGCCCTTGTACACCGATCACCTGTTGAAATTAATACAGGCCGATTTCAACAAATGTAAACGGCGATATATTTAAAATCGTATTCAAGCATGACCACGTCCCAACTTCTTTTGTTTTCTTTACAACTAAGCTATGACTGCAGTCTATTCAGTGTTGCGTATCGAACCTTGTTTATTATAAAAATAGTGCAACAACAAGCAGAATTCACACATTTACCTTATACTTATTCTCAACTGAAGACATTGAATTTATCTCTTAGGTTTTACATTATAAATATCTTAACATGCAGAATACGAAAATAGAGGCTTAGGCCCAACTTTGTATGAATTTTATGAGAATAATCTGATTTTAGAGAAATGAAAAGAAAAATGTCCACACACTACACAAAATATTTATGGTTCCCCGGGAATACGTATGTGCTGCTTGTATATTAGAATCGTATTCCAGTTACAGAAAGAAGTACATATCATGCTAAACTATATACAACAGTTATGCACTTGGAGGTTTTGGATACAGGGAATATCCCGAGGGATACATAATATGTCTTCCCTTGGTCCCTCGGGAAGAAATATTGTATATCTCTCGGGATATTCCCTGTATCCAAAACCTCCAATTGCATAACCCCTATATATTGGCCAAGGGATAATCCCAATATCCTGACTATAGGATAATATGTTTATCCCATACCAATCTTGGTCATCTGGTTCACATTGTTAAATCGTGGAAATATTTTAGAATATTCATGTCCAGTTTTGTTTTCTTGACCGTGGGCGGATTTTCATGTTCTCTCAAATAATCCCATATTTATTTTCTCGAATTTTTTATTGAGCGGGACGTAAAGCTTTATCCCATGGTTGCAAGGAGGATATAGATCGAATATCACATGATGATATATTTGATATGTGGATCAAGATATCATATTTTAGCAAACAATTTACAAACCATCGAATATCACTTTTAAACTATCGAATATCACATCTTAAATAGAGGATATCCTATGATTTATGAGTGATATGATTTTTATTCACGAATGGATATGATATCTGCACGAGTGAGCGTAGCGAGAGATTAAAATCATATCACGAGTAAATCATAGGATGTTCTTTATATTCCATAGTTAAATTCATCATCAGAATCTTCGGGAATTAAATGATCTAAAACGAATTTTCCAAACGATACGGCGATATTGACACTTAGCCTCGTTTTGAGTCTGAAGTAGCAAAAAATCCATAAACCATGGCATACGGCGCCGCATGTCATGGCTAAAACACCGTATGCTATGGTTAAGTGAAAATTTGCCAAAAATATCAGATTTTACCACTGATTTCAAAAATACCGTTTTTATTTTGACATGTTATCCTATGGATATCATGCTAACTATGGAATAATATAGGAATATCCTATGGCTCTGAAAAAATATCACTTATATCTGGGAATACTCCAAGCTTATATCCATGAGTGGATATTGATATCTTCGCGAGTGAGCGCAGCGAATGAGTGAAGATACTGATATCCATGAGTGGATATAAGTGATATTTTTGAAAAACTATAGGATTGTCCGTTTCATCCCATTGGGAATTATTATCCAGCGAACATTGAATAGTCAGATAAATTGCAATGGAAATTCCATTTCGTCTGACATTTTGATTGCGATAATTCAACGAACGTCATATACGTGACGTACCAGAGTGGTTTGTATTTAATGCGAACGCCGTAAAAACAGGATCCCAAAAAATAAAAATATATAATAAATATATAATTCAATTCAATTCAATTTATTTCATATTTCTTATATAACATACACTATAAAAACAAGCCGCTATATGTTGCGGTCTAACAGAAATCATTAAAATGACATCTAGACTACATATAAAAGAAAACACTTATATTATGTAGGTATATAAAAATGGTATTAACAATTAATCTAAGGATGTACAATGTAAAAATGTTACAAAAATCAGGTATCAGTATAAAATCAACAGTATAGTATGATATTGGTATTATACATTATCGATAGATGAGTAGTTTTTTATATGAAGATTTGAAAATATTTAGAGTGGAGCATTTTTTAATATCATGTGGTAGAGCATTCCAAAGATTAGGACCTAGATAGCGAAGGGAAAGTTTAGAGCATTTAGGGATATGAAAATAATGCAATTGTCTTGTGTAATGATGATGAATATTAATGTTGATATCAAACAAGTCTTGAAATAGATTTTTTGGAAGACTGGGGTGCTTATTAAAGATTTTGTACATGAACTGACCAGTACAATATCTGTTGACATCAAAAATATTTAATATGTTAAGATCTTCAAATAAGGGAGCGGGGTGAGAAAGTCTATCCTTATTTAAAGCTAGCCTTAAGAATTGTTTCTGCAGTTTATGTAGACGATCATAAAATGATTTAAATGTGTTACCCCAGATTATGTTGCAATAATTTAATTGAGAGTGTATCAATGAGTAGTAAATTGTTTTGAAACTGTCTATTTGAAGTAGATGTTTAATGTGATAAAGAGAACCAATGACGCGAGAAATCTTTGTTTCAATAGATTTTTTGTGCTCTTTAAATTTCAAGTTTTTATCAATAATAATTCCAAGAAAGTCCATTTTATCCCGGAAATTTATGTTCTCATTGCGTATTTTGAGATTCAGATTTGTTTGATTTTTTTTGGGGTCCAAATAGAATAGCATTGGTTTTGCCAATATTAAGTGAAAGTTTGTTTGCTTTTATCCAGTCATCTATTGAATTCAAGTTTGCATTAGTTCATTTAAATCATAATCACTATCAAGAAGATTGGTGTCATCAGCAAACATAATAAATTTTAGATTAGGGTCAACAAAAGGCAGATCATTTATGTAAAGAATAAATAATAGTGGTCCAAGCACCGAGCCCTGCGGAACACCACAATTTAGAGATGATTGTTTAGATTCATAATTGTTAATGGTGACATATTGTTTGCGGTATTTTAAATAACTTTCAAACCAGGACTTAGCTATTCCTCTGATGCCATAATATTCAAGTTTTCGTATCAAAATGTCATGATTAATAGTGTCAAAGGCCTTGGAAAAATCTAATGTTATGCCAATGCTCGTTTTCCCCAAATCAGTTGATTTTCGAATTTGTTCAATGAAATATAAAATGGCCATGTAGGTAGAGTTGAATTTCTGAAATCCAAATTGATAAGTAAAAATAATTTCAAAACGTTCTAAAAAACCAGTGAGTTTGGCGTGCATGAGCTTTTCTAACAATTTAGAAAATACCGATAAAACTGAAATTGGTCTATAGTTCGAAGGATTTGTAGTGACTCCTTTTTTAAATACAGGTGTTACTTTGGCCAATTTGAGGGCGTCTGGGAAAATACCAGATTTAAAAGATAAGTTAAATATATACAAGAGCGGATCAATTAAAAACTGTCTTACAGACTTAATAAGTGATGGTAGAATCCCATCAGGTCCAGGCGAGGAAGATTTTAGAAGACATATTTCTAATTCAAGCTCAATTTTTGAGGTCTTTTTGAGATAAATAGATGATTGAACTTTTTGAGCTCTTGCTAGGTATTCATAAACAATCGTTTTGCTGAATTAATAAAAAAAATTGAAAAAATCAAAACCATCGAATATCACTTTTGAAACCATCGAATATCAATTTGAAACCATCGAATATCACCTTTCAAAAAGTGATATTCGATGGTTTCAAAAGTGATATTCGATGATTTGGGAATTGTTTGCTAAAATATGATATCTTCATCCACGTATCAATTATATCTTCACGTGATATTCGATCTATATCCTTGTAACCATGGGATAAATAAGGGTTATGTACTGGGAGGTTTTGGATACGGGGTTTTTCCAGAGGGAGATATGCATATCTACCTGAGGGACCGTAGGGACAGAAAGTAGATGTGCATATCTCACGAGGGATGAACCCAATATCCAAACCGACCGTACATAACTGCTTTATCCTATACCAAGTAGAGTTTTCAGTAGTACAAGGTGTAAAAAATAAACAAATCATTCATATGCAAAGTCATTTTATTGCATTTCCACTTTTTGGAAGCGGGAAGATACGCCCCGAAGCGGGAAGATATGCACCGAAGCGGGAGATATGACGGGAGATGTGGAGGTTCTTGATATGGAAACCTCAAAATCAGGATACGGGATATATCTTACCAACTTATCTCCCTAAAACCCTACTTGGCATAGGATAAATCAAGATAATTTCTACTCGCATCTAGTCTATTCCACATGTTTGGGAAAAGTGTACAGGAAAATCTCCATGTTCAATTGATGTATGATCAACCCTCATAGGGGTCAATCCAGTTGTCCGAAACCCAGTTATCCGAAACTCAATTCTCCGAAACCCAGTTGTCTGAAACCAAGTTCTCCGAAAATTAGGGGATCTTATCAAAAAATACAATTTCTTAAAACGAATCTTGTCGCAACCTCTGCGAATCACGACAGCATAACATTTGAATCACGTTGACATCATTGCAAAATTAGGCTAAATATGCTAAGTCAAGACGTTAATTAGCCCACGAAAGTTCATGGGTAACTTGAGAACTACAAAATACAACCAAATACTTTTCGAACGTACAATAGCAATATTTCTCACCCAACGTCTTCATAGTTTTAGGAACGTATTTTAAACGCATGATAGCCAAATATATCAAGATACTATATCTGCCTAAATGAAGTTATCTAGTGTTGACAAAGTTTTGAAATATATTTTATCCAGATCCATCAGAAATTAACTTAGCCAATACATTTAATTTGTTCATAAGAATTCTTTAATTCTACCTCGTTCCCAATACGTCCTCAGACAGACAAGAAATTGAAGTCACATCCGTTTGTTTGCGTGGCATATTTATACGTATACGCACTTTCTCTGATTATTGTCAAACAAATACATTTCAGGAGAAGAACATAAAAAACAAATGCCTGAAACGAATGCCGAAACATAAATCCCAAGTGATTAAGTTTAGAATGTTTTATTCTTTTACGATTTGATAAGAGACTGAGACTAAGAAATTAAATGCGACGAAATATTTTGACAACGTAATTTGTATACTGTTTTATTCTTAAAGTTCTATGCGATACCTTATTTTATCTGTTTCAAAATGTTTCATTTTATTTTGCCTATATAAAAGAGATTGAAGAAGATAAGATAAACTGTTCCGTAATATATATTGTGTTTTAATAACCTTTTTTAGAATCACAATGTAAAATAAATCTCCCGTTCCTGCCATTCTGGTAACGCCATGCAATGGATGCAATTCAAAGTGAGAGAGAGAGATCTATGAATATCAGAATGCGTCCATGCCATTAATTTGGCCAAATACATGGCATGAAACTGACGTAAGCTTAAGTAAGCTACGCCCCCCCCCCCCTTTCTCTGGTAAATTATGACTTTATTTTTCGGAGTAATGGGTTTCGGACAACTGGGTTTCGGGGAATTGGGTTTCGGACAACTGGGTTTCGGACAACTGGGTTTCGGACAACTGGGTTTCGGACAACTGGGGTGTCAATATATACGAATCGAATGTATTCTCGTGTGCATTACAATATCCCCATTGAAACATTTTTGGCCTGCAATGGACGTATAATGAATTAGAATATGAGGCCGTGTTATCATTCTAATGTAAAGTCATGGTATTTACTGTAGTATTGGGTTGCAAGTTAATATCAGATTCAATGCAAATTAATCATCTAATATCAGATGCGCGATCAGTCCAATAATCTAATTTCAGGTCATCAGTTCGATATCTAGCACTTGTTCTAACGACACGGTATTACTAGACTATCATATTATAAATACACACACATATAAAACAATCAAACTGGTACACGATATAAGCACGACTGCTCTTTCAATTGAGTATAAATGTTGATAAACTTACCCGGAAGCCAAGACATACACGTTTAGACGATGCTATTTTCAGTTCAGTGTAAGAGTAAATGCCCGGATATCGAGGCTTTTTCGTGTAAAGTTTTAACCAAGCATCTAAAATCGGGTTATATTGCGTGTAGAATTTATCGATATCAGGGCCGCTACATGCCAGTGATTAGTGGCGATGTATTTGTAGTTGATATTGATGTCAAAGCTTTTTTTTCTTGTTGTCGATTTATTTCTAATAATAGCATAGATACACGCAATCAACGAATTGCCAAAGTTTTTCAACATTAACGGCAATTTAATAATGTCTAAGCTATCATTTTTGTATTTATAATGTTGTTATGTTACAGAGGTTATGGCAGGACCTACTTCTCTTGTACCTCTGCCCATACATGTACAGGTGATGGCACAGCTATGGTAAGCAGGGCTGGCCTCCCTAATGAAGACATGGAGTTTGTACAGTTCCACCCCACAGGTACATTTTGCTATATGCATAGATTATGATTGCAAGAGTTGTGCAAAACTTAAGAGCAGACAATTTCAAATTTTAGACCAACCACTAGTAAAATTCAGAAATCTGTTGGTTGACATGACCTTGATTGAATATAGAAATCCCATAGCATGCCCTTACAAGGAAAGGCAGCCATTGAGCTGTCCGTATTCCTCACATTGCAGGTATTTATGGTGCTGGATGTCTCATTACTGAGGGTTCCAGAGGTGAGGGTGGATACCTGTTGAACAGCGAGGGTGAGCGGTATATGGAGAGGTACGCCCCAAATGCCAAAGATCTTGCCTCCAGAGATGTTGTATCAAGAGCATCAACCATTGAGATCCGTGAAGGACGCGGTGTGGGTCCTGACAAAGACCATGTCTTTTTGCAGTTATCTCATATACCAATTGATCAGCTGAAGTCTAAGCTTCCAGGTATGATATTTTTATTTGAAGAAAATTTTTATGCATTTCATTTGAATGTTTGTAATAAAAAATGTTTATTCATGTACATGTACTGTTTCCTAATTGTTTAAAACGCCATTCTGTGCTTAAGTAAAATACACATGTATACTATATGTAGTCTAGTGTAATTGAAAAATAGTGATACATCTCATCTCTTTAACTGCAGGTATAATGGAGACAGCTCATATCTTTGCTGGTGTTGATATTACACGTGACCCTATCCCCGTACTTCCAACTGTACATTATAACATGGGAGGTGTGCCTACCAACTACAAGGGACAGGTAAGCTATGTTAGATAGCAAAATATTACTAGTTTTTACCATACTGAAGGTGCATCATAATTGAATTATCAATGATAGTTACATCTGTCATTGGAGAAACTGAGCACTGCACTAAGAAAATTGGAAATTTTGTTAAAAAAATATTTGTTTCCAGTCAAGATTTTAGGCAAATCGTAAGATTTGTGATAATTTTTTGTGGATTTATGAAATACTGGAACGTGCAATACAACTATTATATATGATACTTATTATAATTATGTATTTACCATTGTCTGGTTTAGGTGATTACCTACAAGAATGGTCAAGACCAACTCGTCCCAGGACTCTATGCCTGTGGGGAGGCAGCCTGTGCCTCTGTCCATGGGGCCAACAGACTAGGGGCCAACTCACTCCTAGATTTAGTCATATTTGGTCGTGCCTGTGCTAACACAATCACAGAAGAGAACAGACCTGGAGATCCCATTGGTGAAATAAGTCAAGTAAGTGATGTCATTACTCTGTACTATATTTTACACATTCAGTATTTTGTGATATATTTGAAACTTTGACACTAAGTGAGTCAACTGTCAAAGGCGTTGAATTGAAGAATTTAAATTAAGACTAAATAAATGTATTATCTTATGGGAGGACTCAAAAATGCTTCACACCCACATTGAAATAATTCTGACTCATTCTCAAATATATATTCACATGATATTAACTATATATTAATGTTTACTTCATATAGAATGCTGGTGAAGCAACTGTAGCCAATCTAGATGGGTTAAGAAATGCCAATGGAGATATTTCCACTGCAGAACTGAGACTCACAATGCAGAAGGTAAAGTTGAATTATGGACTTTCTAAATTTTTGGTCAGTTCTAATCTGACAAAATTGTATATCCCAACCAAGATACAGTTTGTTCAACTCAAACATTGTCATTAGACATTTCAAGAAATTACATGTATAATATAAAACTGTTGAATGAGTAAAAACTGGTGTAAAATCTGGAATGACTATGTATATTTAGATACTCTTAAGTGTATCATTGCAATTTCCACATACTTTATAAATTGCTAATATATGGTTACATTGGTACTGAGTTTCTTGTTTTCCTCCATAGATAATGCAGAGCCATGCTGCTGTGTTTAGAGATGGAGCTTCACTTAAAGAGGGATGTGACAAGATGTCCGCTCTCTACAAGGACATGGAAAACCTCAAGGTTAGTTCATCATTGATTTGTCCATTTTAGAAATATACATTACAATGGCCTAGATGTATGATGTGTACATTATGATGTCATAAGCAACAATTAATGTTTTCTAGCCTTTTTAAGAATGACAAATAGGGTTTGAGAATCACCGCTCAAGTCACAAGTGCAATTATTTGAGAGTTGTTGAAGCCTCTTTTATTGTTGCCATACAAATTCCAATACAATTACACATGTATACGGAAATTAAACAAGGATATATTTTTTTGATTTAGGTGACAGACAAGGGACTAGTATGGAACAGTGACTTGATAGAAACCCTTGAGCTGCAGAATTTGATGCTTAACGCCATGCAGACCATTGTTAGTGCTGAGCAACGTAAAGAGAGCAGAGGGGCTCACTCCAGAGAAGATTTCAAGGTAAGTCCTTTGTGTCAGACTTTTTCTCATGTTTCAAATCAACCTGTACCACATTTCTTTGGGCTAGGTTTTAATCATCCAAAAATGTGTTTCACGATTGATTGTTTTGAAGACATGTATGACAGAAACATCTTAGATGCTAATCAATGCTAGTATGCCCCCTTCTATGTATCTAATGCCCTAAATAGATAGATCATGTAAATATGACAAAACTTGTAAAACATGTGATCAATTTCAATGATTCTTCTCAAAAAGGGTAAGTATATATTGAATTGCCATTTGAAGGTAAGAGGAGAGCCATTAATAAATTATATTGCGTTTTGTGAGCAATGAAATGGAGTGACTTTTTTGTTTTCCAGGACAGACTGGATGAGTTAGACTACAGTAAGCCACTGGAAGGACAAGTGAAGAAAGACATGAAAGACCACTGGAGGAAGCACACAATGGCATGGCAAGATATTGAATCTGGAAATGTAAGCCTTCATTTTTGTCCAGTGTACAGTGAACAAAGGTTCATAGGCTTTTCTAACATGGTAGTCAATGGGATATCAAATGTAACTGAAAGATGGTTCACCTCTTGAAGTGGGTACTTTAGAAAAGTTTTTGTTCATCATTTATGTTGCTTATTAGGTCAAACACTAAAGCTTCATTTGATTTTATAATTTAATTTGTGTCTTGCTGCTCATGTTTTATCCAGCTGTTGTGTTGCTTTAGTTGCAATTCTTTGTTATGCTCTATTGTTCTGCATCATCATAATTGTTTTAACAAATGCTATGTGTAGTTGCTTCAGGCTGATGATGCTGTCCCCAGCTCCGATTTCGGTGATCGGCTAGTATAAAAGGTTTGAGGGTATCATTTTGTTTCAGACACTCTCTAGAGTTAATTATCCTAACTTGAGTAAAAATGTGTGGTAAGTAAATTCGCTATGGGCAGTTAAAGAGGCGCCATCTATTCATTTTCAAACAGGGGGTAGGGGTATAAAATGATTTTTAACACATTTCAATAGTAAAATGACATTGAAATACTAATAAAATCTTATCAAAAACATTATTTACAATCAGTATGAATTTTCTTGTGTGGATTAGGGTGAAAATAAGGGCATATCTTGAAATTCACTACAGGGGCGCCACCTATTTTCATACTTCTACCACGTGTAATAACTTATTTTAGATTCATTAAGGTACGAAATGTACTGAAAAAAATCATTCTAAGGGACCTATATATGTTCATATCACATACTTAAAATTGGATCAATAGCTTTAGTACTGTCGGAGAAAAAAATTATTGAAATTTAAAATTGTGGCATCATGCAGGATAGGGGTGACCATATCTCACATTATTAACTTCCAAAATATGGAGCATATGTATCTCAAATGTACTCAAAATGGTGTATGTACTCTTGCTTTGTCATAATATTACTAACAAGAAGAAGAAAAATGATTTTTCATTTTTAAAAATATTAATTCTCATTTTGGCTTCTGACGTCCCAGGGGTGACCATATCTCACCTTAATAACTTCCAAAATATGGAGCATATGTATCTCAAATGTAGTCAAAATGGTGTATGTACTCTTCCTTTGTCATAATATTACTAATAAGAAGTAGAAAAATGATTGTGCATTTTAAAAAATATTGATTCTCATTCTGGCTTCTGACGTCCCAGGCGTGACCATATCTCACCTTAATAACTTCCAAAATATGGAGCATATGTATCTCAAATGTAGTCAAAATGGTGTATGTACTCTTCCTTTATCATAATATTACTAATAAGAAGTAAAAAAATGATTGTACATTTTTAAAAATATTGATTCTCATTTTGGCTTCTGACGTCCTAGGGGTGACCATATCTCACTTTGATAACTTCCAAAATATGGAGCATATGTATCTCAAATGTGCTCAAAATGGTGTATGTACTCTTGCTTTGTCATAATATTACTAATAAGAAGTAAAAAAATGATTGTACATTTAAAATAATATTAATTCTTATTTTGGCTTCTGACGTCCCAGGGGTGACCATATCTCACTTTAATATAATAACTTCCAAAATATGGAGCATATGTATCTCAAATGTGCTCAAAATGGTGTATGTACTCTTGCTTTGTCATAATATTACTAAGAAGTAAAAAAAAAATTGTACATTTAAAATAATTTTGATTCTCATTTTGGCTTCTGACATCCCAGGGTCGACCATATCTCAACTTAATAACTTCCAAAATATGGAGCATATGTATCTCAAATGTACTCAAAAAGGTGTATGCACTCTTGTTTTGTCATAATATTACTAATAAGAAGTAGAAAAGTGATTATACATATCAAAAATTTTAATTTTAGCTTCTTACGTTCCTGGGTAATCATATCGCATCATATAATAATAACTTCTAAGATACGTAACATATAATCCTCAAATATTCTCAGAAAAGTCCTGTCTTTTTCATATTACTAATGAAATGTAGAAAAATGATTGCATTTTTTTTAATTTTAATTTTAGCCTCTGGTGTCTCAGGGGCTATCTCACCTTGATAACTCTCACGATATGCAACATATGCATCTCAAATGTGTGCTCAAAATGGTCTTGTTTTGTCATATTTATTGAGAATCATGAAATCAACAGATCAGAATCAATGGATTTTGACTGTCTCCTCTACAGCTACATATAATTCAGGGCAAATAATATCTGCTTTCAAATATTTGCATCTGCTCCCCAAACACCCTTTACAAGTACAATGGATGAGATTATTCCCTTGCATACATTGGACCCAACATCTTTTGTAATCCATACAGGAATCCTTTTAGCCTGTCAATAGTGGGAGTACTTTACTCCATTTATGAAGTAATGGCAACTGCTAATGTAAGGTGTTAATATGTTATCCTGTGGCCTGCAATATATGCACCTTGGATTATACACTGAATTAAGGGATTTTGAGTATGTAAAATATGGGAAAGGGAGCTCTTTGTAATGATAAATCTTTCTAGCCACATTAACATTCTCTAGTTTGCATGTTTGTCATACAACATACATTGATTGTATTGAAATATTAATTTTTGATTGTGATGCCCCGCACTTCTAGGGTCCCAAAGAAGAGCTTAGCTTTTGGAACAATTGCATTATTCTTGGCACGGTAGGCCATACAGTGAATACAACAGTGGGACAGTTTGGTGTATGTTTGGGCATAAATGCGCCTTTTAGGCCAAATTTTTCAGGATGTTTTAAAATTTCGGGTCAGATTTGGGGTTAAGGGGCCAATTTTTGTAAATGAGGCTAGGCTACTCACACTACTGATAGGCTACCAGTATACAAAAGATGTTGCATCCAAGGCATGCAAAAGACTTATCGTCCATTGTTCCTGTAATATAAGGAGTGTTTGGGGAGAAGATGCAAATATTTGAAAGTAGATCTTATTGTCTCTGGGCTATATGTAGCTGCATCCTTCAGGGGAGACAGTCAAATCCATAAATTCTGAACTTCTGATTTCATAAATCCAATAAATATGACAAAACAAGACTATATTTATACCATTTTGGGCACGCATTTGAGATGCATATGTTGCATATCGTGAGAGTTATATCAAAGTGAGATATAATTGCCCCTGGGATGTCAGATTCGGAAGCTAAAATGAAAATTTCAATTAAAAAAAAGTGTAATAATTTTTTTACATCTCATGAACAGCATTATGACAAAGCAAGACTATATGCCCCATTTTTGGTATATTTGAGTTGTATATGTTACATAATTTTAGAAGTTATTTAGGGACGTCAGAAGCTAAATTTAAAATTTTTTAAATGTATAATCATTTTCCTACTTCTTATTAGTATAATATTATGACAAAGCAAGAGTACATACACCATTTTGAGTACATTTGAGATACATATGCTCCATAATTTGGAAGTTATTAAGGTGAGATATGGTCACCCCTGGGACGTCAGAAGCCAAAATGAGAATTAATATTTTTAAAAATGATCAATCATTTTCCTACATCTTAGTAATATTATGACAAGACAAGACTATATACACCATTTTGTGCATATTTGAGATACAAATGCTCCATATTTTGGAAGTTATTAAGGTGAGATATGGTCACCCCTGGAACGTCAGAAGCTAAAATGAGAATTAATATTTTTTAAAATGTACAATCATTTTTTTACTTCTTATTAGTAATACTATGACAAAGCAAGAGTGCATACACCATTTTGAGCACATTTGAGATACATATGCTCCATATTTTAGAAGTTATCAAGGTGAGATATGGTCACCCCTGGGACGTCAGAAGGCAAAATGAGAATTAATATTTTTTGAAATTGTACAATCATTTTTCTACTTCTTATTAGTAATATTATGACAAAGCAAGAGTACATACACCATTTTGAGCACATTTGAGATACATATGCTCCATATTTTGGAAGTTAATCATGTGAGATATGGTCACCCCTATCCTGCATGATGCCACAATTTTAAATTTCAATAATTTTTTTCTCCCCCGGTACATAAGCTATTGATCCAATTTTAAGTATGTGGTATGAACATATATAGGTCCTTTAGAATGATTTTTTTCAGTACATTTCGTACTTTAACAAATCTAAAATAAGTTATTACACGTGGTAGAAGTACGAAAATAGGTGGCGCCCCTGTAGTGAATTTCAAGATATGGCCTTATTTTCACCCTAATCCACACAAGAAAATTCATACTGATTGTAAACAATGTTTTTGATAAGATTTTATTAGTATTTCAATGTCATTTTACTATTAAAATGTGTTAAAAATTATTTTATACCCCTACCCCCTGTTTGAAAATGAATAGATGGCGCCTCTTTAACTGCCCATAGCGAATTTACTTACCACACATTTTTACTCAAGTTAAGATAATTTACTCTAGCGAGTGTCTGGAACAAAATGATACCCTCAAACCTTTTATACTAGCCGATCACCGAAATCGGAGCTGGGGACAGCACTATGATGCTTTTCTGCTATAAAAATAATTTATTGGGCTTAAATGCACTATGATAGTTCACAATCAAAGTGATTACAAAGCAGTTGTGTGATGAAATGTGGAATCAATTCAACCTTGTCTGTTTTGATGCCACAATTCATCATCAAATGGGCTGTAGTGGCCCAATTTAGGCAATGTGCACCATTTCAAGTCTTCTGTCTCCACCATGAGTGGATAAATATTGTTATAGTCTCACACTTTTTGGTGGACAGCACTCGGTGATTGGTGTTCAGCAGTTGGTGTTCATTCAATGGCTATAGCAAATGGCAGGTGTCGACATTTTACATGTTAATCGCTTATAATGAGATTTGCTTCACCCTGGCATTGCTGTTATCAAGCTTATATTTATTTGTGCTTTATTCTTGCTAAAACTAGCGCACGTGCATGGCTTGCTCTTTTGCCTTACAGATCACTGTAGATTATCGCCCTGTGATTGATGATACATTGACAGAGACAGAGTGTGAAACAGTACCTCCTGCAGTTCGCACTTACTAATGCTTATGTTGGACTCACCATAGGTATATTATACAGGGATCGTGTATTGGGAGGGGAATGCAATGCTTAATTATTTAACTGTTGGTCTTGTTGATGTTAAGTTAATGGCAGATAAGTTTGAGCTGTTCAGCTAGCTTTTTTCATATTGAACTTTTAACTCATTCGTCAGTTGTAGAGAATAGTATGCGTACAATCTATGTTCATTATGGTTTCACTCTGAATATATAAAAGTAGCATCTAAGTACATGAGTATATGAATAAATATTAACTTGGATATCTCGTATAAAATAATCATACAATTTGAAATATATTTTTTAATGAAATTATATGTGTATGGTAGAGATGGTAAGTCTGCTCCGTGCCAAGAAAACATAACCATTGATTCATATAAATAAAGGGGAGTTTGGGCCAAGAGTTTCAATGCTTTGGTTTAGCCTGTTTAAACTGTAATTATAAATAGAAACTTTTTTCCAGGTGTGTCTTGATTACCGACCAGTGATAGACTCAACTTTAGATAAGTCGGAAACAGACTCTGTCCCTCCTGCTGTTCGATCATACTAAGTGGGACAATTTCGAACGTTAGATTATTTTCCAAACTTTAATTAAACCAGCACCAAATCCACTTAGGCAATTCTAGTGGAGATTCTGCTACTTCAAGAAGAGGAGGGAAAGCCCCAGAGTTTAAAGATGACAGACATAATTACCTCTCTTGCTTACCACCTTCGTTCGTTCGAATTTTCATCGGCTAGTTATCAAATATTACACTTCGTTTGGGATGTTTTAATTGACATAGGCATATTCCGTACACCTTTCCTTATCTTGATGTGAAATGAGAAGCTATGATATTGGTTAACACGCCAGAAATGAACATAATATTATTCGAAGCGTTTTCGAAAATTTTGAAACCGCCATTGATGACGTCATTTGTTTGTCGACTTTTGACCAATCAGCGACGATGTCATCTCAATACAGATTTACATTATAAGCGTATGTCATCTTTGAACCCTGGTGTTTCTCCCCCTCTGTACTTCAAGCCTATAAAGAGATTTTGCAGGACTTAACTATTCTGATGACAAGCGTTTAACAAAGTAGTATCCATGGCTTATTTTGTGGCTGTTTCAAAGAAATACTTAAACGAAGGAGGTTGACATCCAGTATTTGAAAACATTTTACACTCTAAAGCCTGTATTGTGCATACCTATGGTAGTCATTGTTGAGAAGCAGTTCATGTTTCTTGATGTTGAAAAATGATTCATGTGATAAACTCTTATATTTAAAATAATATGAAATACACACTGGATGTAAAAAACTATTTCTGACCTATTATTTTTTGTTTCTCAATTGTATCATAATTGTGAAATAGTTTATGACACTTAGAAATATACCCTGTTTTACTCAGGCTGGATTCAAAAAAATCGTTATGAAACTATTTGCCAAAATATGAAAATAAAAATATCATAAAATGTGTGAGAAATAAAAAAAATGTTTTCCACATGAGACCATGATTATTATTCTAGCAGACTTTGTATAAATTTTAGAGTATTAAATATTTGAAATTATGTCATTGAATTTGAATTCATTATTTTTCAATTTGTTATTGACTGGTGAGAAAGTGTTGTACATGAAGCAGTACATATTAATATCTTTATATGTTTAGTGATGTATTTATCATGTAAACCTTGTTTCGTTCATTGCTTAGGCTATCATGCAAGCAGTAAATAAATGTCTATGTACATAATATTATTTAAAAAAGCATCTGTTTATATTTGTTTCTTTGTTAGTTTCATCCATTTAACGTCAAGTGATTATTTTGCATACTGAGTTGTTTGAGGAAGTAAAGAAAATATATGCTGGCTTTATCTTGAAAGGGTAAAATGGTACTTAGATTTAAACTCCCCCCCCCCAAAAAAAAAAAATTGTTGCAATTATGTGACAAAAAATGAATTCTAAAATTATCAACAACAGAGTCTTAGAATTATTCCTTTGAATGACACACAATATTGAAATCTGCACATTGCAATCTTCTAAAGCAATCATTGCAATCTTCTAAAGCATCCAAGTGGTCCTGTTCCAATCCTAATTTTAATTTCTAAAAAAGGAAATTGTCATGTCTGATCAAAATATAGAAGTGACTGAAATGTTCACATTCATTTAAGAAATCCACTTTTTCATTCTTTACAAGCTGGCCTTTAACAAACACTGACAAAATTTAAGATGATCTTATAAAGTTTGGGACTTTGTTGAAAATAGACATGACAGGGAATGATGAGAGCAAAGGTATTGCGAAATGTGACAATTTTTTTCGAAATCTCTCAACTTGTAAGTCTATCCTCTTTCTGGAGTAGGCTGTTTTGGGAGCAATTAGAAAATAAATAATTTTCAAAGACAGTAGTTGGTGAATTCACAAATAGCAAGGCAAGGCGTGTCTAATTCAGGCGTTATTTCCTAAACTGACACTCAATGCTCCGCATCTCATGGAAAGCAACACCTTCAAGGTTGGTCATTCCACATTGCACTGGGTCCTGGGCTTAAATCCTTAAATAACACATGGGTTTTCACATAACATTATGTGCTATAGACCAGGAAGAATCTTACCTTGAGTCCCTTCCAAATCTCTCTCATAAGAAATGAAACTGAAACATAGAACATCATATGGTTTTGATCATTCTGGGTTTTGATAAAACTTTTATTGAGCATATAGGGGCCCGCCATATAGGTTAGCCACCTGCTAGCCACAGCCAACAAACTACTTCAAACAGGTATCTGGTCTTAAAACCTTTGGATGACTGGCTGACCGGGCTGGCTGCTTGACATCTAATTTCAAAAGCTGTCATATTTCTAAGATAACGGTGTTGAGACATTGATCAGTCCCCAATTCTCGCTTTAGCGAATATTAATACAACATATTTTAGTTGTTCTAATCGAGAAAAGTTTGAAAACCGTGTGAAATGTTTCATGTTTTTACTATTATTCGCTGTTACAGTGACACTCGATGTCGATAAACAGTGACCATGTTGTAGCTGAGAGTATAGGCTCTACGAGTGATACCACAGTTCATCGGAAAAGAAACCATAGACATCGATGTTCGTCGTCATGTGTAGAAATCGATGCAGCTCAAATTGATGCAAACTTCCTGGATCAGGTTGAGGGTTCCTCTGAGGATACCAGACCTCTTTTGCCACCACCTCCTGCACCCGAAAGGTGATTATACATTTTGTTATTTGATTTTCAATAAGTCCATGCCATGATCATGTTCTTCTTTGAAGCACCAGTGCTTGTGACTGTAACGACCCTTGGGCATCCATCGGGGAGCCGAGCCAAATACTACACTCGACAGAGATTGTGCTAAATCCAATGCCCCGTACGGGAATCTATCCCAGACTCTCTACCCCTGAACAATAAAGGCTAGCTACTACAGCTGCCTGAGCTGTCATCCCCAGTGCACAGCAACAAGCCTGCACTACTGGTAAAGAGGGGTGATGTCAACGCGGTAGCCTGACAGTCACCCCAGGGTATTTCAACATAAAGGGACTTCCTAGGGGGGTACAGGGGCCAACCAGAAAGGTTCCTCTCAATTTTAAAATGAGTTGTAAACCATAGATCTATTTTTAAATGTTAAGGTTTTAAATTATATTATATTCAAATTCTACCAGTTAATTATATATCTGCTTTATATGGGCTTATTAGCCTTTTGCAGATTATTGACATAGACATAAAATTATACCTCCATATTATCAGATCCAAAGTAAACACGCTTGACACCTGTAAATAAAGACAGGTATAATTCTATTGATCAGTTCATATAAACATGTAAAATCCTTGGGGTCATTAACTTATTTATTAAACCTTGTTATTTTCTTCCTTTGGTTCAGATTTAGGTAGATCATGGGCTTTCAATTAGTTGAAAGCTAGTAGATCAAGTATATGGAACAAATATGATGAACTTTCAGTATGATTTCCAGATTTCCCATAAGCTTCATTTTGAACAGATTGCTAGATAAAATAGATTTAATTGTGTATTTTACCCGAATAGGAGTTAACGTAGCAGTATAACCACATTACAGTTTTATATGTCAAAACTTATTCTTCAGATGTTTTGTTCCAAATGAAGTAGATGTTGAGTTTGTTACTTTAAACATTTTAAGGTGGTTATACACCCAGATGCTCTATAAAGATAGATTTTTTTTATGAAAATGTTCATGACATACTTTTGTTTCATATTTAGGCCAAAAGAGTTTTCAATGATTTTTTTTATTTACGATTTTATCCCCCAATTCTGGACAGATGAGAGTAGGGAATTAAGAGGTTACAACGAAGTAAAATATTACACTTCTGTACTGTAGAATTAATGAGTATGATATATGTTTATGTGTGATAAGTTTTACACGCATACTTTTGTGTTACTTCAGTCGCATTTTACTCTAGTGTTTTGTGTTTGGAATGAGAAATGTAATAACACATAGGTTTCTATGGGAATGATTTTATTTGTGTTTACTGAATACTCAGTGTTGAGAGTTTTAAGTCATGTGAGACCTATTTAGACTTTTAAAATTCGAAAAGATTTCCTGAACAATTTTTTTATTCAAAAACGTTGAATTTGTCACTTTTTCATTAACATTGTTTGGTTCCCACACAAGTATTCCTATAAACAATGAAGGGCATCACTTCATATAATTATATAAGCTACTTTGCTGTTAAAGAATTTGGAAAAAAGGTTGGAAAGAAATTGAATCAAAAATAGTTCACAAATAAATGCAATTTGAGTTTTATTTAACAGTGGTATAAAACTGTTGAAACTGTTATAAAACCTATATTTTAGTAATTACATGTAATTCAAAAATGTTGTATTTAGATAGTTTGATAAATTGAATTGAACACAACTATTCCTAATTTTCAGAAAATATGCATGTATCTTAATTTAATTTAAGGCACACCATGGGCATTCTAGTCTGTTGAAAGCCCATATGGGCACATATAAAAATATATTTTATTGTTGGAATAATGTGCCCTTTACTCAATGCTTCTATTACTATTTCTAATAGTGTTCAGAAAAGAGATTTATCATAATTTATCCCATAGTTGAGGTCACATCTGTATGATAACATGAAAATATATTCATGATATTTTGCAAATGTGTGGAAAAAGCGATATCTCTTGAATGCGGAGAATATTCCACAGATATCATATTTTTCGTCAGATTTGAAATCTCCTGCCAAATGTGACGTATATTGTTACATGATGATTTCATGCCGTCAAGTTATGAATGAATGAATGTTGTTTTGAAATGCTTGATTTAGTTTTATAGGTGAACTATGGGATAAATAGAACATCCTCTGAATTTTTTGTGACAATATTTTAATCCACTCATAAAAAGTTTGAATTCAAATCAAAACTTGATATCAATATCTCACGCCTGGAGATCGTACAAAATGGATGGAGGGGGGGGCGAGTAGGCGATTTCTGCAAGATTTATTTTTTGAAGAGAAAATTTACAACTGAAATGCCAAATGAATAGGTGCAGTGCATGGCAAAATATGTTAGGTCTTCTAATATTTTTTTTGAACAGATACGCTTCTAGGATATTTAAAAAGGTGCATCATCATCAAAGTGCAAAAGTCAATGTTTTTGCTATAAATCAGGCAACAATGATCTACACGACCTGTAATAAATAGGTATAAGGGACGTTATTATCACAACACAAAAAATAATCAAAATAAATTAATATCGGATGGAGGGGGGAGTGAGTGGAGGGGTGAGTTATATGTCTTTACGATGGAACAAATTCAAAAGAACTTGTGTATTTGAAATAACTAAACTCGGTACCCCAGTAAGAATTGTAGAATTGGAAAATTGGAAAATTTGGAGTTAGGCTATAAGAATAAATTCAAGTAGCAAGCGCATGTCTTATCATGTCTTATATACACATTATCCCCCCCTCCATCCACTCCCCCCCTCCATTCAATATTAATTTATTTGATTATTTTTTGTATAATGCATGGAAACTAACTTTAAAAAGTGAGCAATGTCATTAGTGTTGTGATAATAACGTCCCTTTTACCTATTTATTACAGGTCGTGAAGACCATTGTTGCCTGATTTATAACAAAAACATTCACTTTTGCACGTTGGTGATTATGCGCCTTTTTTAATAAATCTCATATCTTAGAAGCGTATCAGTTCAAAAAAAAATACAAGAAGACCTAACATATTTAGCACTGCGCCTATTCATTTGGCAATTCAGTTGTAAATTTTCTCTTGAAAAAATAAATCTTTCAATTTTGTTGAGTTTTCTTGCAGAAATCGCCTACTCCCCCTCCATCCATTTTGTATGATCATCGGGTGTGTATCTATCTGCACTCATTCAATACGCTCACTCATCCAGATATTGACATCAACTCATGGAGAAAAATGATACCACTCATAATCACATACATATTTGGTGATTTAAAAATATCAATTCAAACATTATAAAAATCAGAATTAACCAGAACAATTTTTGGGTCATAATAAACATATTTTCAAACTTAACATTGAGCCTTTAACAAAGAATTATTGAAAATCAATTTTGCTTCATTGTACCCGTATGTTGCTTTACTAGTAACATGTGGCCTCGGATCAAATGTGTGCAATGATTCATACGGGATTCATACTAGCATGTTTAGAGGCTGTTTTACAAACATGAAATAAGAATCAACATCCAATTATAGATAAATAAGCAAGAAACATACCTCTCAAAATAAACCAATCAAGGGATATCAAAAAGGACCCCTCTAACTGATACTGCCTCTAAAAATGAGGAATAAACAGTAAAACTGTGGAAGTTCAACACCAGGTGCAAAAAATTAGTATTCCACTTGGGAGGTATTCCGACCGGGTTGTTCCACTCACATGAAGGTTAAGCTTACATTTGTTTAAAGGCAGCACGATGAACAATTTTGTATATAATTGAGGTATTCCATCTACAGAGGTGTTACATATGTGTTAAGCTTTACGGGTTTTACTGTTTTAAACATGAGTTTATGTATATGCACTTTGCTTCAGCATTCCTAATAGATTCAGACAACTGATTGTCTTATTGTCTGCATTGTTTTGTGATTGATAAGATCAGATGCAATTAATGTGTCATTTATAATCACTTAACATCACAATGCAATTCTATAAAATTGAATTATATTGAACATTATTATATATCAAGCTAAGTTGATAGCAGCCTTGATCTAATATTACAATGAATTGCTTTTGTATGACCTATTTATGATTGAAAATGTTCATGCAAATAATGGTGAAATATGATTTATTTCTGCTTGAAACAATGTATCTTCTTATTGACATTTCAGAACCCATCATGTCCCTTCCTCAGATGTTTTGGTCACAGGATCAAAGAATTGAGTCCCAAACATGTGAAAGTTTGAAATGACCAACGTCTCTGATCAAACTATTTTAATTTTCTCCTAATATATCTCAATGACATTGATACCACTACATTGATTATAAAATGATATCACTCAAAATCATATTATAACTAATAATACAATACATGACTGATTCAACGATTGTTAGATTCATAGCACTCTGATTGACCCATGTGCTGTATTTTTTAACTTTAATGCCATTGAATGGTTACATAATCCATATTAATCAGATGTCTAGGATATTTTTGGGGTATTTTAGAGAAGTTAAAAGCTATTAAAGATGGATGCATCCTTACTAGCCACTTTGTTTATCTAAGAGATAAACATACATGTAATCACACACAGTCAGTAATTACACTTAATGCCTAAAATTGCATGTCAGAATATGTTTAAAATGCAGATAAAGAAACGATTGTTATTTTTTATAATTACCTAAGTAGCATAATCATACAATATTTGCAGCAGCAAAGCAAGCAACATGCTTTAACATTTTTTGCTCGCTCGCAAAACCCGCCCTTTATTGTGTGATTAGACTTTTATTATGCTTTGGTTAGAAACCATGCGCAATGCGTTGGCATTTTTGTGGATGTATGTAGAATATAGGTGTTGGGATTGTTTGTTCTGAATATTAGAAATTAGAATTAAAAATAAAAATTACATCCTACAGCCCAAACGAATCTTCTTTGTCATTTGTGTTCATTAAGTATGTATTCAGGGAGATGCTGCCGGTTTATAGAATTATATCTTTAACATGTTGAAAATATTAAAGCACTATATATCTAATATCATTGAATAAAGATGCGCCTCATGAAATACAGATTTTCTTGGGTATAATATTTTATATGTATTTTACTGAAAATCATTGAATAACTCATATTATACCTGCATAAAATCAAATTGCAAAAATATATTGATGAATTCTATTTTTCATTAACTAAACTGAAATAACAATCGGAGGGTTTTAATTAAATAGTTCAATATTGTGTCTAACTGTAAAGGTTACAGATGTGGGATTCTCACGCTGTATGCTTGATCGGTATACATAGGATCTACTCAACAAATAGACTTTCATTTGATAAATGAATAAAACTTGTTTATATTTATGGCATGCAGTTTTCTTCAATGTGTTTTGAATGTGTTATAGAATTAGAAAGCTTAATTGCATGCTACCATTTTCATAAAGTATATACATCAGATACAGATCGCCATAGGTCTTCAAAATGAGATGCTTCAGTTTATCATAAGATGCCATGGCTTATTGTAATAAGATGACATGGTTCATCAAAATGAGATGCTTCAGTTTATCATAAGATGCCATGACCTATTGTAATGAGATGCCAAATTGTTTTCATGAGATGCCATTGTTTATCATGATGCATCCTTCACATTTTTTGCATTGCAGCTCAAAAAAGTGAAATAACTTTTGACCTAAGATGTCAAGATAGACTAGAATTGCCTTTTACTCCCACCGATTCATTAAAATGAACTCATAAAAAACTAACAAACTGGGTGTGTGGGCTCAAAGACAATAGATAAGGCTGAATAAGTGCATATACGAGTACACGTCGCAATCACATGGAATTGTGAATATTCAGAGTCATTCAACAATCAGACTCCATGAAACTTTCAAATGAAAGGCTTATAAAATATTAAATAATTGAATTGACAGCATATATTGTCATAAAACATTTCCATTTAATGATTTCAATCAAAACTAAGATAATTTAAACCTATTAATTTTCATGATATTTATGATACTATAAAACTTTGATCCATAAAACAGTTCAATATATTTTATTAATGCATCTCATGATAATAGACTTCACTCTAATAATATTCAACTAAGGATCGTTCTTCACAAAAGCATTCTCATAAATTCCAAACTGTGCGGTAGATAGTTTATAGCCATAATTCAAAACTACCTTTAACAAAAACAATGACACTAATCTATTGACTATTGACATAGATACTAGACATGCTAATGGATTTACAACAAAGCAACAGTTATGTTAGAAAAGTACAATGATAGTACAGTGAACGGAAGCATTTCATAATAAAGTTGATCTATGGTCTGCTGATGCTGGTTTTTCTAATTTGGAAATTACATACCATACATACATACCAGTACTGAGGGAATATATATACATATATAGTGGTACATAATTGAGCAGCTAATCTGATAGATATGAAACATATGGAGATATGAAATATGCAGCTTTCTTTTCTAATCAACTGTTCTCAGCTGTTAGCATGTAAACTTGTAAAATTGAACATTCAAGTATCTGTATCCAAGATAAGAAACGTACATGAATCGTCATTTTTTTGGAGAATTTCAACAATTATAATGAAAATGGATTAGCTATGCAGCAATCGTTATCTCTTTATAGAGCTATAGAATAGTTGATTGGAAATATAGGGTGTATCTCATAATTAATAGAATATCTTAATTATGGAACTAGAACGATATGATGAACTAACTACCATGTATATAATGAACAACAACCATATGGATCATTGTTCACTTGAGTTTGATGACGAGATAACAGAAAGTTGTGAATTGCTCGGGTAAGTGGGGCTACATATGATGTCATGAGGGATATAATGGGGCCTGGGGTCTAAAAAAGAAAAATCAGGCCTGGCATGGGGTCTTCAAATGTTGGTGAAAATCCCCCTTTGTCAAGTCTGTGGGATTTTTGCCTTTAAGCTCTATTGTTCCAATTGGATATTTTCCAAATGTGGAAATGCCTATATTACACCCCCAATGTGCAATCTGATTTTCAACACCCTTTCGGTGCCAAATTTCGGTGTCGTTTAGGCACCAAATGGACTGACTAGTCCGGTAGCAAATTTTGGTGTCGAAAGGTTTCGGTGCCGAAACAGTGTCGAAACGGTGCCGGAACGGTGCCAAATTTGTTCGATGGCGACACGGCGTCGAATTATATTGGCTGTGTATCCCTCAGTGAGAGCAAGATATTTACAGCCTATTTAAAACCATCCAGTGTTAACCTCTTTGTATGAAATTAAATCTTTTTTAAAAATATTTGTACTAATTGTTTATATGTGCACCAGTGGTCCAGTACACTGCTTAAAGTAGCTGTATCTACTTTTCAAATATCCCAACATGAGGATCAAAATGTTTTCTAGGTTTAAGTGTGATTTGTCGTTATGTTTATGTTAGCTATTCAAAATCATTATTAAAATACTCAGCTTCAGATTTCCTGCCTTGTATTAAAAAATCAGTGAGCTTGCAATTAGTAGCAACCTAATGGTCCAAATAGAAATCCCTACTTTTGCATTATAAAATGAAAATATACATTAAATCATTTAGTGACATCTATAAAAACTGTATGAGTCTAATAATGTAAAGACTACACCCTTTATATTTAAATGGATTGACTAATTGTACTTTCTAATTTTTTTAACCAAATTCTTTATTTTATTATTGAGAGAAATTATGAAAGCATGTTTGTCTTTTTGAAGTTGGGTTTGGCCTAAACTGACCACTTACATAAGTATTTGCATTGAGGCATGGAATGTAAATTGGGAGGTGATATCTTTTACATATCCATGAGTGGATATAATTGGTATTTTTGAATACCGTTTATCCCATGAGAAATCGACATCAGCAAAAAAAGTTGAAAAAAATATTTTGAAAAAAAATGTTTAAAAAAATTTAAAAGGGAAAAGTTTTGAAAAAAAATGTTTAAGAAAATTTAAAAGTGATATTTGATGGTTTGAGAATTTTTTGCTAAAATATGATATCTTGATCCACATATCAAATATGTCTTCATGTGATATTCGATCTATATCCTTGCAACCATGGGATAAACCACAATTTTTGATGTTGGTTTTCACGTTTGTCTTCTCAGCTGAGATAGTGTTAATTAAATTATACATGCCTAATCAGCTGAAATCTTCAGATGATAAACCATATTGTCGAAGGAATTTCATCACATTTTTTCAAAGCGCAATATATTGTTTATATTCATACGCCTTACGTGAAATCAGATTTAGCATAATTACACAAGTCACATGAAGTTATATACCCTATGTATAGTATGTCATTTTACTTTATGGATGAAATTGGACGAATAGTTCACTAAACTTTCTACTTCAGGTTTGTAATGATACTTTTAACATAGTTTTAGACTTTGTATCTCTGTGAAGCTAATCCTGTCTAAAGTCTAAAAACAATTTAATTTACCAAATATCTCATTCACATGTGTCTCAGTTAAGAGAAATTCACACTTTTGTGTTTCAGAAAATGATTGGTGGTTGAATGAATCGAATTTTGAGACACAAAAGTGTGATATTAAATATGATATAAATGGCATTTTAGGATAACTTGTATGATTGATCGCTGCATTCTCTGCAGAAATATTATCGAAACCTGTGCATTCTTGTTTTCTCAAAATAAAAAGAACAGACATTTTTGGCCCAGTCTGTACATTGTGATTGCTGGTCAAGTAGACATTACCTTGGTTGATTGCAAAACTCAAACAGTTGGTCTCTGCTGAGCCAGCTAATGAAACAGGGGGAGATCTTGGCTCTTTCTGTTATCTAATAAGTGGAAAATTAGTCTATAACCCTAAACTGTTTTTCATCTTTAAAGATAGATGGTCACGCTTCCCATAAGCCACTATGTCAGTATTATAAGTTATATGAGTATACTCCATATGGTGTATAGGATATAGTAGAGAGGTGAAGAGATAACATAATAAGACAAAATAAGCTAGTACTATTGTTTACAAATTTGAATGGCTTCCTATCTAGAGTCCATTTCACTGCTTAAAACTATATTCCTATTGTACATGAATGACATTTGTATATCTTGAATTGCTTCTAGTTTGGCTTATAAAGTGTGTGGCCTCTTATATTTGGATGCTTCTCTGCCATGTTATTTTCAATAAGATTAACATGGCTGAAATTCTTCAAATTACAAGACGGCACAGGCTTATTGCACAAAAAAATAAAAAATCTGAAATATACAAATGTCATTCATGTACATTATGAATATACTTTTCCATATATTATTGTACAATGGTCTCCCAATTTCTTATTTTTGCCGTTCTACTGACGAAATGAAGCAGTGAAATGGACTCTAGAGCCTATGGAATGAGATGTACATGAAAATAACACAATACTCCAATCATTACCATGTTGAAGTGGACCATGGTCATACCATGTATACCATGTTATATGGCCATGAAATGCAATGAAATACCATGGTCATACCATGTATACCATGTTATATGGCCATGAAATGCAATGAAATACCATGTTATATGGCCATGAAATGCAATGAAATACCATGGTAATAACCATGGCCGATCATGATCGTTAAATGGCACCATTGCATTTCATGGTTAACAGCGCATTTTTAACATGGAGTTTTCCATTGAAAAAATACTGCCGTTTCGCAGTATTTCATGGTCAGAAACCATCAAATGCAATAATATCATGGTCGAGAACTTGACCATGATGTCATTGCATTTGATGGCTTCTTACAAAATGGTGGACATGAAATATTTAGAATTCACAATGGTTTGAGCTTTATTATACTCTAACAATGCAAGAAGTACACATTTTCATGCTCCTTCGTTGTTCCTTGGTAAGGTAAGATAATATGTGGAAATTTTGGATTCTTGCAAATGTGTGACTGTTGCAAGGCTACTCCTTGAAACTTTCAAAAATAGCCTCACTTCACACTCTTCATGCTAGCTTTGGGGATCTATGCGTTTAAATGTGATGTTTTCTTTTAATTGTCTCTTGAGTCAGGAAATGCATTCACATACAAGGTAAACATTATACAAAATCTTCGGACTTTATCAAAAAAATATGGCTGCCATGTTTTTGTACTTCTGATTAACTTTAATGTCACCTTAAACGGGGGATGACCATTAGACTGAAAAAAAACAATTAATACACTCCTTCTTCAGGTCATATCAATATTTAAAGAGTTGTGTGTGACATTTTGAAACATTTTGATAATATTTATGAGAAGATAATGACAGATTTGACCCATATTATATGAGAAATTAAAATATCTGTGTTAAGACGTATGATCCTTGTCGTGAATATGTGTAAATACAGTACATTAGATTCACATTCATAACTCCACCTTCCTGTTAGAGACCTACTAGAAAAACTCTCTAGAGTAGAGTAGAGTGTTCATAATGGACAAAACCTTTTTTTCAAATCACAATATAGTTTATTTTGATCATTTTATGATATAATACCCAGGTTGTAGTATTGTCTCCCTTTTGCAAAATCTCACCAATGATGTGACATATTTTATTTATTAGTTTGCATAACAAAATGTTTGAAATCTAATTTGTACTTTGTTTAGCTAAAATCTAAGGTTGATCAACATGGAACAAAAGTTGCCCACCATCTTAACCTCTTAAATACCCAGAGTGACGGATATATCCGTCACAAATGAAATAAGACTGGTGCCCAGAGGGACGAGAAAATCCGTCACAAAATCTCATTTGAACAATTTTCATCCAATTTACACAAAAATTGTTTTAAAACGTGTAGAAATGATCTCTGCCGTCCAATTTCACTAAGCTGAGCATCTAAAGTTGTATAGGTATGTAATAAAATGTCAAAAGGTGGCAAAAAATGAAAAATTCTCTGGTTTCATGCAAATTTTAGAGCCTGGGATTCAAGAGGTTAAACCAGAGATTCTTGCTGTCTTGCATTTTCTAATCTTATACTAGTTTTGTATTACTAATCTTTAATGTTGACCCTCATAGTAATTAAACTGTATATGTATTCAGATTAATCAAAGTGTGATATCCACTTGAAACATTAACTTATTGATAAGGATATATTATGGTGGTTGCTAACGAAGCCTCTTACATGTAACTTACTTTTTTTACAGTGAAGCCCCTCATCCCTCTTCCAGGTTTGTAATTATATTTAAATATATAATTCTTTGTTTATTACTGTTATTTGAATTCTCAAACTCTAAAGTATTCAGGCTGTGAAATAAATGATAAGTAATTGAAAATATAAAATGAAATAAATTATAAATGGAACATCTGTGACTTATGTAGATAGCAAAAACTGAATATCATTTTTATTAAAGTTTTTTGAATTAAATAAATGCTGTCATTATTTATTATTGTTTCAATGAATCCTGGGGCATACCCTCCTGTTGATTTGCACAAACATGACTTATTTAACTGTTGTGAATTGATATTCTCAAATTGGTACTGTGTGCAAAAGGAGATTAAATTTGGATGGAAAATATTTTATGATCAGTCTAAACTAAACTACCTAAGATTTGAACTCACAAAGGACTTCTTAAAATGGAATGTCTCAGTCTAAAAGCAAATGATGATAAAATACCTATTTTAGGAAATCAAAGGTAAGTTTTATATTATCAAATAGAATACATAAATGATAATTGATTTTGAAAGCATTTGATCACTGGCTAAGGTCTAGATTTTATTTTGGAAACTAGTTCATATGGTTAAAATAAGGAAATGTTGTGATGTAACCATGTATCTACTTACCAGTATGTTCTGTGTCATCTATCTGATTATGTTACATTGCTA